CCGGACAAACGTTTTACTATTCATGTACAAGTTTTTGGTCTATGGTTATAAATTGTCAATATTCAGGACAAGTTTGAAGATACTAGTAGGTTAGGTTGAGGTGAGGTTGCAGACTCTCCTCAATACTGATTGTGTTAGTGTTTTCTTGAAATACTTAGATACTACTACATATGCAAGTACATCACTGTGAGGGAGAGTGATTCCACGAATGTGTTTGTTCATTATGTGTCATTTTGGAACTTGGACAATTTGTGTTTCATCTTTTTAAACAACTAAGAGCTTAGCGCAAAGTCATGTCACCGGGCTACTAATATGATAGCACATTCAGAGCACTAGGTAGTGTTATGTTCATTTCGTGTTTTGGAAACAAGATGCCAGTAGGGTTACATGTTTGTATTTGGTATCTGAAATAGACAGAAAATTGATAACAGTCCAACCACTTTAACACCTTAGCAAGAATTCTAAAAGACCCTCAAAATAACATGAACAACGTTTTCACTGAATAAAAGAATATTTATTCTAAGCAGAATTGGCTTTGAGCAACTCGAGATGTTTTCGAACACATGTAACATCGGGACTGTATCGGTTTCCTATTTCCTTTTAAGTTTAAAAAGTTTAATGTATTAAACCAAGAAATGCACAAATGCCAGTCCAAAACCCCCACTTCTGTAGTGCTGTATTAATAGTTATTAAAGGTAAATTGATGGACGACTTGCCAGGTGAGCTAAAATCATCGTCCAGTCAAAGGTCATTTCAGCCATGTCTTAGATTTTAGATCAAACCAAAACCCAGAAATCCCAGATGAGGCCAACCGCTGTAATATCTTAAGTCTAATCCCNGTTCCTTTGGTCTCATTCAACAGTAGGTACATCATGACATCATTAGTAACTTAATCAAACCGTCACATCCGTGTTTGACATAGTCTCTTCAAGTCGGGTTGTCAGTTTGCCTCTTGAATAGAACAGTAATATATACAAGAGGCACATGGGCCTAAACGGTCACCTGAGTAAATTTTGAAGTACTCAAATAGTAGCATGTTCTTTAGTTTTAAGTGGCACCTAGTTACTTTGGAGAGAGGGCTTACACCCCCATACTAATGGAGACCAGGCATACACATGATGTATTGAAGAATTAGATGATACGTTTAACGGATATTGTGCAGATAAAGTTGTAAATGTCCTATGTCCTAGCCAATCACAGGCCAAGGTGGTCATTTGGAATTTTACAATCAGCGTGAAAACTTGGTAAAAACCTCATAAGGAACATTTCGACTAAGTTAGAAGTCAATCGGTTTAGCCTTTCTTGAGAAGAAGTAAAAACATCTCGGTCAATGAGAGGTCAGGGCGATCATCTTGGATTTTCTGATCGGCACAAAAAGTAAGTACACTTGTTCGGAACCTCATAAGGAACATTTGTACAAGTAAAGAAGTGAATTTCTGCAGATAATCTTGAGCAGTCGAAAATGTCTTGTCTCAGCAAATCAGTACCTTGGAGCGGCCATGTTGTATTTTCCGATTGGCGGTAATTCTGCCAGTTACTGTCTGATCGTGCCCATTTTCAAACTTTTGATGTAAAGCAGTATAGCAAAATTTATCAAAATCCATTCCCTTTTACTCAAGTTATCGTGCTCACAAGCTCAAGTCCCTTAGGCTCCAATAGCAATTAATATGTTAAAAGTTACTTCCAGTTTCTGTCTGATCGGGACCATTTTCGAACCAGTCTGAGATCTTATTGATATAAAGCAGCATACCAAAATATATCGAACTCCATTTCCTTTTACTCAAGAAATCGTGCTCACAAACTCAAGTCCCATGACAATTAAAATTTTAAAAGTCACATAACTCTGCCAATTACTGTGTGATCGGGACCATTTTCTAACTTGTCCGAGATCCTATTGATATAAATAAAGCAACATAGCAAAATGTATTCACTTCTATTCAAATAATCGTGCTCACAAGCTGAAGTCACATAGGCTCCAATTGTAATTAAGATTCCAAAGTCACATAACTCTGCCAGTTACTGTGTGATCGGGACCATTTTCGGACTTAACCGATATCTTATTGATATAAAACAGCATAGCAAAATTTATCGAAATCCATTCTCTTTTACTCAAGTTATCGCGCTCACAACCTCAAGTCCCATAGGCTCAAATAGTAATTTAAATTTTAAAAGTCACATAACTCTGCCAGTTACTGTGTGATCGGAACCATTTTCGAAATTAACAGAGATCTTATTGATATAAAGCAGCATAGCAACATTTATCGAAATCCATTCTCTTTTACTCAAGTTATCGCGCTCACAAGTTCAATTCCCATAGGCTCAAATAGTAATTAAAATTTTAAAAGTCACATAACTCTTCCAGTTACTGTCTGATCGAGACCATTTTACGAGCCACTCCGAGATATTATTGATAGAAAGCAGCATAGCATTTTTTTTTAAATTTATTCATTTTTACTCAAATTATCGTACTCACATGATCAAAGTTAACGCACTGTGCATTGCAGACAACAGACGAACCTATGATCAGGTGACTTAACAAGAGGCACAGAGAGCCTGTATCGCTCACCTGGATAGCTAAGCAATCGTGGCAAAATATTCTCGAAATGAGATCCAAGGGATTTTGCCAGACCCCAAGGCCAATCCTTGTAGCATATCTGTATTAGATTTTTCATGCCCAGCAATTTAACGTATGGTTATGTGGATCTCAACTGTTTCCAAGCTGTGACTCGGAAACTAGGTACCTAGGGTTGTGGCCAGACCCCAGGATCAATTCTAATATCATGACTGCATTCGTCTCATTTTCCCCAACAATTGTATATATAGTTTGGGGGTGGGGATCTTAACCATTTCAAAGTTATGACCCAGGGGTTAAGTCTCCAGGGGTGGGGCAGACCCCAAGGCCATCCTGGAACATATGTGCATTCATCCCCTTATACTCAGCAATTGTATATATGATTATAGGGTGGGGATCTCAACTGTTTCCAAGCTGTGACTCAGAAACTAGGTCCCTAGGGGTTCGGTCAGACCCCAAGGTCTATTCTAATATCATGACTACATTCGTCGCTTTATGGCCAGAATATGTACATATAGTTTTGGGGTGGGGATCTCAACAGTTTCAAGTTATGACCCAGGGACTATGTCTCCAAGGGTGGGACCAGACCCTAGGGCCATCCTGGAAGCTAATGTGCATTCTTCTCTTTATACTCAGCAATTGTATACATGGTTATCTCAACCATTTCCAAGTAATGAACTTATTTTGGCCCCACCCTTTAGCCCGAAGGGTCAGCCCCACCATTTGCACAATTTTGAATCCCTGTCTTCCATGAATGCTTTTGATCAAATATGATTGATATCCAGTACATAGTTCTACAGAAGAAGTCGTTAGTAGCAATATAGCCAAATTGCCCCCCTTTGTACAATTTTGAATCTCCACCACCTAGGGATGCTTCCAGTCAAATATGGTTAATATTCATCACTCAGTTCCAGAGAAGAAGTCGCTTAAAGCAATATAGCCAAATACCTTTTTTGGTCCCCGCCCCTTGGGGAGGTCAGCCACACCATTTGTACAATTTTGAATCCCTGCCTCCCATGAATGCTTTTGTTCAAATATGATTGATATCCAGAGAATAGTTCTACAGAAGAAGTGTCTTTAGCAATATAGCCAAATTGCCCTCTTTTGGCCCCACACCTCAACCCCCTGGGGGGTCAGCCACACCATTTGTACAATTTTGAATCCCTGCCTCCCATGAATGCTTTTGATCAAATATGATTGATATCCAGCGAATAGTTCTACAGAAGAAGTCGTTCGTAGCAATATAGCCAAACTGCCCCCTTTGGGCCCCACGCCTCAACCCCCTGGGGGTTCAGCCACACCATTTGTACAATTTTGAATCCCTGCCTCCAATGAATGCTTTTGATCAAATATGATTGATATCCAGTGCATAGTTCTACAGAAGAAGTCGTTTGTAGCAATACAGCCAAATATCCCCATCACCTAGGGATGCTTCCAGTCAAATTTAGTTGAATTCCCATCAGTGGTTAAGAAGAAGAACGTGTTTAAAGAAATTATTGACATACGGACGACACGGTATGGCATAAACTCACCTTGGTCCTTCGTACCCGGTGAGCTGGCTTTTGGTAAATTAAGTTAAAATTGTCAATATGATATTTATGTATGGTCGTTATTTTGTGTGTTTTGGGAAAGGTGGAAACCTATGGTTATAAAAGACGAAAAAACCCCAGAACGGTCAACTTTTATTAAAAGATTTCAATATACAATGTATTAGAATACAAAATGACAATATGATAAATAAGATGTTGAGGAAAGACAGAAGAGGAGAGTCAGAAAGGGGCAATATAACAAATAATGGACAACAACAAAAGTACAAATACAAAATTCAACAGTTATCTCAAAACTAATTCAGAAGCATCCTATTATTTAAGTTACAAGTCATTTATGGTTTTCTGTTTTTTTCTTTCTTTTTTAAAAAAAATGTAGTAATTTTGAGTTTTGCTTATCAAATTTGTATTAAGGTGCTGCTAATTTTCTGTGATATTTTACTATTTCATATTTATAAAGAATGACTTGCTTCCTTTTTTCTCTCTCTCAAAAAAATAAATAATTCATAATTAACACTATCTGTGAAAGTCCAAAAATAATTTGATAGTAGACCTGTCCTATAGAACATGAAGGAAGATCATGGACCTGGTAACCATCTGGATACAATTTTAAAGTTTATCAAAAATTAATGAACTTGTTTTGTACACCATTTTTAATGCTTTCCTTAGTCTTTTTTAATGCAAATCACAACAAGCAAAAGAATGCTTAACATATGACAAGTCAGCAGGAACCAATCTGATGATATTGTACTGGAATTTGTACTTTCCTTGTGTCCCAAACCAAGAAATTCTGTAACCAACAATGCCATTTCTCTGTCCTCACTGAAAGCTCTGTCTATAAGTAAAAATATCTACAACATCTACTGAATCCACTGTGTCTATTCTACTGCTCTCCTGTCTCATACCTCTACTTATCCTGTCCTTCGCTCATCTGACTCTTCCTTCTTCCATCAAATACAAGCCATAATCATTACCTCCCTTACATCAGATGTCAGGAATAATTGGCAAAAAAATATAAATGTAAAAAAATATTTCAAAGTAGTTTATGCTATGCACGTACTTTATTCAAAACTTTAAAAATCTTACTGAAATAATCCTGGTTATCTCCAGCCTCTTCTCTTGTAAGTGTATCATTATTTCAGTTTTCGTCACAAAAATATGTTTTAATCTTCCATATAAATTAATCTTCCATTTAAAATGTTATGTTTGACCCCATACTTAGTAAACAGAGCTCTAATCACAGAGAAATCAAACTTCTCCCCTTGTCTCCAAAGAACAAAAACGTCAAGGAAATTGTGTCCCAAACAAATACAAGGTGTTATTAAAACTGTATAAATAGCATGTATGTACCATTTGGAAATCTACATACTGAATAACACTACTGATGACAGGGTTACATTCTAGGTGGGGACTTCTACAATTCACATTGACAAACAAACAGACGCTCTTTGAAATGATGTGATTTTATAGTAAATGGTCCGAAGGCTTTCCAATTGACCTATCATCATAGACAAAAAAAAGATGATTGCAATTCCATTTAAATTGATGACAATTTCAAAGCACACACTTAAACAATACAAAGTGATACATATCAAATATGGTAGATTAAAAAAAACCATGAAAATATGACACAGATTCTTTTAAAACATTGCCCCCATTTACCACTTTGAATGAACTGCAAGACAAATATTTTTTTAATAATTCAAATTTTTAAAATATTTTTTCATGCTAATCGGTGAATGAAAAAGCTGCCGAGGCAATTAATCTGTAATTTTAAGGGAGTATCATTGACAATGAATTGATGTTATTCGTGTACTGATGCCTGGACCGAGTGGAAATTTGAGACAAGAGAGTGTGTTAAAAGGGAGACAACTTGCAGAGGAAATACATGCTCCTTGAATACCAATAACATTGTCCACAGTATTTGTTTCATCCCAAACAGAACACTTAATGTTAGAGTAACAACATGATTGCTTGCTACACATAGTTTTACACTACAATGGTGTTACTGGGTTCTATATATATAAATATATCTTTATCTCACTAATACACTATTTAATCCATTCTCCTGTTCTACAGGGGTAGAAAGCTCCAAACCACACTGGTTTATTACCATCAAAACTATAAAGGCCTTCACCTTTTTTGGCTCACTCTTTATCGAATACTAGTTCTTCTGATACTTTTTATAATGTCATTTACACGAAACTTGGTTTCATTTTTTAACCTAAATTTTGTGATAATTTTTTACATAAACTACACTGCAATCAAAAATAAGTTTCTTCCTTTGAGCAAAACTTGCCCGATTGCAAAACCTGGAAACAGTTCTAGAATACATGTACATGTATATCAATATAAATTTGTATTTACATTTGCACATGAACTGCTTATAATGAAAAACAAATATTCAAATATGAAAAAACAAAATCCTATGATGATCTGACCATGGACTCTCACTCTCTAACATAACCCACTCACACGTGTCTTGTGACTTCTCTGGTAGGATTCTTTGTTTAGAATTACACAAACAATGACCAATTATAGATGTCTTAGTACAAGAATGAGTCTAAATACAACACAGCAGGACAAATGTGTGCTTTATAGAATCCTCCGGATTTTAATCTGAAGCGACCCTTTATTGTGAAGATTACAAGCAGAGTCTTTCACATCATCCTCGGCTTCGTTCCTTTACAACTACAACAGATGGTTGACCCCGAACGCCTTGGAAGGTCCCATGTTACAGGTGTAGCTCCGTGATTAGATTCGCTATATGGTGTGATGCTGGCCATTGTCTGGGGGTTATATGTACACTGTGACACTGCTGCTAATACTCTCCCACTTAGAAACTCTCCACGGTTGGTTGATAGATGTTGTACTTAAACAAGGCTTGGTTCATATCGTCATAGTAACCGTATACCTTCTCTTGTAGGACCTCTCCGGCACTTCTCTTTACAATCCACTTGCCCATCATTTCTGTAATTACATCAGGTCAATAAGCCACTCCTTCGATAATTCAGCAGATACACACAACAATTATTATGTTAATTTCTACAACAATATGCCATCGCCTTATGATTTCCATGTCACAACATGGTAATAGAAGTGAAACATAAGTCTTTCTCTGAGCCAGTTATGTGTAAAAAAATAAATAATGTTCAAGATATCAAACCAATTAGAAAATTGTTGTCTATGTTTTTTGACAGATTCTATATCTTTACTTGTTCTATAGTACATTCCAAGATAAGGAAAATTTCCATGGATGTAACTTATTAGAAAGGAGCTGATTATTATATCAATACATTTTTTCCTATAAGATTAGAAATAAGGCTCTACTTCAAGACTCATGAATGGTATCTCCTGATCTTGTCCTGCTCCAGACATGTTAGGGACTTACCATCATCTCCTGCCAGCCTCATCAGCTGGAATGTCTTGTAATTGCTGCACTCGTTGACAATGTAGGGTCCTAGGTAGGCAATATTCTGCAGGGGAGGGCTCATCACTCTGTACTTCCTCCTGAGGACATGTGCTCGGGGCAGGTAATAACCAGACTGAAGAGGTCAATAATAATGTAACCAATCGGAACATTTCTTACATTGTTAAAAGCTCAAAAGTAAAAAAAAGTAACAAACAATTTTGCAATTATAACCTTAAGGATCGAGACAAAATACTACAGAATTCCAATGTAGGTTTTCATTAATGAAGTTACCTCCCCTTACTTTTGTTACAGATATAGCTGTAACTTGACTGCAACAGGGTACTTCCCCTGACTTAGCTCAGCTGGTCCGAGTGACAGAACATTGTATATCGATCACTGGTCCAGGGTAAGAGTCCTGGTCTGGTTCCGTCCCAAGTTAGAGTCCTGCTCTGGTTCCGTCACGATTTTCTAACTCAAAAAACTGTTCTTAATTTTGATCTGATTTATATTACTTTTTTTATTGAAGTTGTGCAAGATATGGTTTTCTTTTCAGGAAATGATATATCAAACTAGTCATGTGTAAAAAAAAGTCATAGTTAAGAGTTTTTGGCAGTGAAACAAGGACACTGGGGTCACTAAAAGTGGACATGAACAAGAGTACCGTGGAGCGGAACAATATATGCCCGTCCAATACCATATAGTGTTATATACTTTCTTAAATTGAAATAAGATCTGCATCATTCTAAGAGTGGTTAGCTGACATGCTATAAAAAATGTAGAAGAAAATCTCCGGACAAAAAATCAAATACTGAAATGAACAAAGGGCAATAACTTTTGCAAAAATCGCAAAATTCTTTTATGGGAGACATAACTTCATATCATGATTATAATGTATACCAAGTTTCAAAGAGATCCATTGAAAAATGTAGGAGGATATTGCCGGACAAAAATCAAATATTTCAATAAACAAAGGGCAATAATTTTTGGATTTTTTTTTAATCAAAATTCTTTTAAGGAAGACATAGCTTCATATCGTGATTATGATGTATACCAAGATTCAAAGAGATCGGTCGAAAAATGTAGGATGAGATTGCCGGACAAACAAAAGGTTACGCCAGACGGACTGACAACCCCATACCATAATACTTCCGTCAAATTTGACGGGCGTATAAAAAGCTGTCTGGTATTGATATATCCATGTACAAAATCATCATACTATAGTCACTCTTTCTCGTGTAGTAGTTATGGTTGATAAAGAGATAAGTGTGAGGATTGATGTATGGTAATAGTTTTTCTGTAATTGGACAGTACATCTACAACTAAGGCAAACACTCACGTTGATTTTATTGAGGAGGTCGATGAGATTCTTGGGAGGCGACACCTCATTCCTGTTCAGATTCATCACATAGCAAACTCTGTCGTGGTAATCCACAATGGCAGACTTGTTCTGGAAAGGTAAAACAGCTACAATATACATTCACAGCAGACTTGTTTGATAATGGCAATTACAAACAATATACCAGTATAAATTGTCTAAGCTAATTCAGCTTTGAACTGGCAGCCCAAGATAGAAAGCTATCTTCACTATGGTGACATTCTCAGATTAATCTCTGATTATGGATATGATGACGGACTCTGACGCAACTTTTATCTTCACTATGGAGAAAGACTCAGAACTAACTGAATTTTTACAGTAAAGATGGCCTCAGATTTTACTTCATTTTCATTACCGGGAATGTCAGACTGACTTAAAATTTACTCTGTTTTCACTATAAGGATTAGGGATTGAAAGCTTCAACTATGAGAACTGTCTCAGATTTAACTCAGCTTTATAGAGGGTAAAAAAACTTAATGACTTACCCGTTCAAAGTCGTGCAGAATGAGAGATTTGAGAATATCATCTATTTGGGGCATGCTGATTCGTTCGAAGATGTTGTCAGTGACCTCAATCTCCTCCTCCATTTTGACAGTGCTGAATGGGCCGTGATGTTTACGATGTTTACGGTGGTGGTGTTTGCGAGATGGATTCTGGTCAGGACCAGTCAGGCCACCATCATCAATCCTCTGCAGACTGTTTGTGTCTTGGAGCATTTGAGAAGTGGGGTCATCCTCGGTCTTCCTCATGATGAAGGAACATCGTCCCTTGGCATGCTTCAGCTGTATTAGAATATCAATCAGTTGTAACATGTAGGCAAAGACTTTATAACCTGGACACAATTTATTTTTTTTGCTATGAAACAGAAACAGTTTATTTTTCTTAACTATCATGACAGTTCACCCATATTTGTTGTGTAGAATTTTATATCAGGGTTGGAAACCTGTGAAAAAACAACTCTGTCACTTATTGTGACTGTTGTTCCTATTTCCTTTTATCACATCACACTTTATATACCCTGTTTATTACTTAATCACACAGAAGTTTTCAAAATTGTTACTATTTAGGTTGAACGGCTATCAAACACAGATAGATATAGGATTCTTGGTGCCAATTCCTACCCTAGGGTGGATACACCTGTCCAAGGTATGAGAATACTATTTCTCTTACCCTTGACAGGTGTATCCGCACTTTCACCAGTGTGAGATTTCCTTGTCTCACCCTAGGGTTGAGACAGGGGGATTCCCCTATTCATAACAATGGTATGACGTCACTTCAATAATACAATGACGTCACATCAGCAATCCATCTACATCACGTCAACCCTGAATTTAGCCTGAGACGTTAACATTACATTGTGCATATGATACACAATGAAAGAACAGGGTAAGAGAAAAAGAATCATAGGGGAATCTCAACCCTCGGGAAAAGATTTTTAAGATGCCAAACATGAGGCTTTGGTAGGAATTGGCATGAAAGAATCCTATCTTCCCCCTCAGGTTGAGATTCCCCTATCAACCCCTATCAACCCTCGGAAAAGATTCTTAAGTTGCCAAACACTCAGGTTGAGATTCCCCTATGTCACCCACAAGGGGGTGAGAGATTCAATTATTCCAACATTAATATGTGAGCAAGTAATATATTTGTAAGCACACCTTGTTTGGAGACATGTGGTTCTTGTACAAGTAATAACCAGCAGTTGCTCCTGTGGCCAGAACTAGCAGAGCTATGAGGATCAGGAACAGGTTCAGCCAGGTTTTCGACCGCTGCTGTCGAACATTGACCTGCACAGGCTCTACATTCTCTGCATCAGTCTGCAACAGATTATGAAAGACTAGATTAGCCCATATTGTAACTTGAATAACCAATAAACATTCCCTATGACCTGCATATATATACACCTGTATATGCAGATCAGAATCCTGAGGCTTTGATTTTATGTCAAATGAGGTATAACATTTTGTAAGTGTACTTGAATACATGAAAAATGTCAACATAGCCATGTATAAACGCAAAGTAGTCAAAATTTCATGAATCTTACTTTAACTCATTTATCCCTGAAGTGTAATAATGAACTGTTCCAACCTTTGAATTGGAAGAGTTCAAATGTGTTTTCAGGGATGAAAAATTTGAATGTACTAGAACATTGATTGATTTTGGTTATTCTCAAAATGATTCATCAATTTTCTATTTTCTCGTTTGTATGTTACTTCCATACAAGATTTAAATCTTCATTGTGACATAAATTTTAACTTGTGTGTTAACTGTCTGGACTTTTTATTTTACTCTTTAATCTTGCACATTTTTTTCTGACATAAACAAAATATGTGCATGCATCATAAAATTTAATAACATGGAAAAAAACCATCTGTTTTATCCTGTATAGGTATTATATAGTCCAATTTTGAATGATATGAATGCATGAATGTTATCACGACCACATACATTTATACACAGACAAGTTCCACAAGTTCCTGGGCAAGTACTGTATTATAAGTTGGTCAAGCAGAATTGTTTTAAATCTAGATAATCTATGAGCTATTAAATGTATCAGAAATATGAAACAATGCAGCCTTCTAATATGATCACTAAGTACATAAACATCATATACTTAGGTGCAAAAGTACATGTGTACCCATATAAACTTGTATGATATATCACCAATTTTATGAAATTGGACAGATGCCAAAAGCAAAATTCCCACAGCCATGTACATGCATTGAACAAATTTCCAGTATATATCATATGACTAAAAAAAAACTCCTTATCATGTTGGGTTGTTGACGACAATATATATCAATTGCAAATGTGAGCCTGCAGTATATTATTAATTAGCTGATAGTGAAACATGCACGACAGGCCATATGTCTTGGTAACTCGTTTTACCTACATTTTTTTTAGTTATAACATATTGTGAGAACTTTTGGTGCATTTGTTGCACATTATATTTAAACATATTTAGGATTGATCATGAATGCCCCTGAAAATAGCTCTGTTCTGGGAAATGAAAATCTTTACATGAAAAAGAATTCAGAAACAATGAGAGCCCGTTCAACCAAAATTGTTCGGTGAATATCATGAGTTCAGTGCTTATTTCAGAAACACCAGATGGCCTACAGAACGCATTGAATGAATTTCAAAATTATTGTAATATATGGAAATTAACAGTTAATACACAAAAAACTAAAGATTTGATTTTTGAAAAAAGAAAAAGTAAAAGAGACCATCACTTTTCGTTAAATAATGAGATTTTAGAAATACAAGATTCGTAACCATATCTTGGAATAATATTAAACTACAATGGTGTTTTTAAAAAAGCCAAAAGTAAACTAACAGAGCAAGCAAAAAAAGCTTTATATGCATTGTATATTAAGATTAGAAATATTTCCATTCCTATAGATCTTCAACTGAAATTATTTGTGTCACCTATTTTATTATATGGATGTGAAATCTGGGGCTATGAAAATACAAAAAGGATCGAAAAAATACATTTCGAGTTTTGTAAGTATATGGTGAGTTGGGAAGGTATCCCCTAGATATTGAAATCAGCGTTAGAATGGTTATGTTCTGGCATAATTAGCTTATAACGGGTGGATCGAAATTATCTAGTGTAATGTATAACTTAATGTACAATTTGCACCAGAATTCTGTACTAAGTTTTAAATGGTTAACATATACACAAGATATTTTAAACAGTACTGGGTTTAATAATTTATGGACTTTCCAAATATCATGTACAATTAATAGACAATGCTTGAAAACTATCATTAAGCAGAGATTATGCGATCAATTCATTCAAAGTTGCTTTCATGATGTTGAAACCTCAGTTTAATATTGGACCATATCTTTTAAAGCTTAATCGTAATGAACGAAAAGTAATATGTAAATTTAGAACCATCAAATATAAAATTTTGAGGAAAGGTTATGTCCCCTATGTAATAACTGTGTTGGGTACGAATACCACTATGTATACCAACGTTCTAATGTATCTGTTGTAGCTCTTAGACAGCTTTATATACCAAATTATTGTTGTGTCAACCCAACTTGCATCAAAATGAAAGGAATGTTCTCAATTTGTAACACGGTACTTTTAACAAAAGTAAGTAAATTTATACAAAGAGTAATGAAGCTACTTATTATCTAAAATAAGTTAGCTAAAAGATTATTGAAATGGGTTGTTATTGTATCAATTGTATCATGTGTCATATTATTTGAGTACTATGTCCATCAATGTATACTATGTTATATGTGACCTCTTGTTACGCACGTATACGTGTGGCGAGAGTGTAAAAATAAAACTTGAAACTTGAGTTCATTTAAAGTTAGGAATACATTATACAAACAGCCTTGTATATAAACAAAGTACAATATATACACTCATGCCTATAAGCTAGGAGGCCTCTGAATTTTGTAATTTTAAATAAGCCATCACCGTCCAATATATATCTGATGTAATTACAGACTATATTCATTCAAATACTCCTTCCTCAAATTACCAAATAGGACAATGTGTATATAGAACAAAATTGGACACATATAGTCATATACACATGAATACAGGTCATGTTTATTTTCACGAGTCTGGGGACTTACTGGTAATTCCCAGTCTGTGACGTTAACTTTTTTCCTTATTAGTCATTTGGACTAGTGAACCCATAATTTTAATGGTCCAACTGTGAATTTGCTAGTTCAAATTAAATTACAGACTGGTTTTTTCTACAGCATGAAGTGTAAATTGTGATCTAAATTGGAAAATTATTAGAACTAAAAACAAAATGTCTCTCAATAATTAACTTAAGAAACGGAGCACGGAATGTGATCGCCAATTATCTCTAATACAGTATTACTGTTGTTTCCATCAAGCCTTTAAGCACTAGCCAGAACCGTAATTTTTTCTTTTGTGTTAGAGCAATTTTTTCTGTCTGTTCACGGACAGGCTTAGCTGGTTTTGAACCTTTCCTCCAACTTAGCAACATCGCCATGGTTAGTTTCACGTGGTTATAAACTGGAAGTAATGTTCGGTAACTACTAAAATCCAGAACCCAGTCTCGCGATCGAAACTTCGAAGCTTTGACGAATACTGTATTTTACGGTAGGATTAGAACTTGTGACAAGCTTTATAGTGCAAAATATATACCATTAATAATATTTCCATTATTTTGGAGGAAATTTGCCACTAGTCCAGTCGGACTAGTTAAATATTTTCAATACTAGTCCAGACTTAAATTTACTAGTCGTTGGCATCGGACTATTGCCTAACGTCGCAGACTGAATTCCAACTCATACTTTAGCTATACCATGGACATGTACACTTGTATGTATAATTTATGTTATGAGATATGACTATTGAAGAAAAAGCTATCACCACAACATTTCCCCAATGTATATATGGTTTTTGACCATCAAATCTCAAAATGTTTACCCACATTTATACTATTTTACCAGTATACAAAATGAAAACCAAGGGCCTTGTACATGTGAACATGTGATAAAAATGAAGTTTAAGGATAATGGCATCAGTACTACCATCAGTTATAAATGAGAAGAAGAGTTCCACTGATGAGTTTTATTTATGAGGATTATCTTCCTGTCATTCTTTTTGCATTGTGCTCCATTAATTGGACACTAATTTATGGATTGGTAATGTGTAGATTTTATAATGTTAAGGTCATTAGTTAATATAAACACCTGCCTTTTTTATGATTGTTATTTTCAACTTTACTTTCAAGCATTCAAATTTCGAACAACTATAATTCTGTGAAAAAAAATTGAAACATGTGATTTAAAAAAACATGTGATTTAAAAAAAACTCTTTTGAAAAGGATGCTATAAATATTTCATCAATGTGAAAATGGTATTGATTCGGTTCAACATGTTGGTAACCTTTATCTGCTGTAACATTATATAGCACTTTTCATTTACAATATTTTAACATATCTAGCTTATATAATAGCCTCACATAATGTCAGCATGTGGCAGATCATGGAGAATTCATTACATCCATCTAGGTAAATAGTCAGCCTGTTTTCTTAACAAAAGCTGCAGAAAATAAATTACTGGAGAATTTCATGAATTTTTTTTCTGGGTTCACATAGCAACATCTATTTTGATCTGAGAACTATATGCCTCTCCACAGCTGGTGAAAGAGCAATTCAGTTCTGCATACCTAGATTTATAATTAAATTTAAATAATCAGTTGGGTCGCAAAAAGGATTGACATTTTATTATGCTTGTGAAATATTTTTAGCAAGACACAAGCTTAAGCTAGCCTTATAAAATTGACAAAGTTAAGTTAAACCATTCTTATTTTCCATGATGGATTGTAGATTGACGAATTTTAGCATTAAAACAAAATAAACTTGGATATGGTTAATCGCTGACAGCGAGCTCGAGTTGTTTATTTTTTGACAAGACAATTGGACCGAACATCTCACACCACAATGTTGCTGATTGGCTAGCTGGTTCATCTGACAACCAATAAAAACATATGTTTTAATGGAAATGTTGTGAGGCTCAAAGCGTGACAATATGACAAGCCAGGAAATTCTGGTGATTAAAACTCTATGATAATCTGTGGGCTACTTGTTCCTAAGTTTGGAAACATTTTGGATTCAAACGTTTGGAATGTGCTCCTTAGTTGGATATATGACTAAAGTGTTCTACCGAAGGTGAGGGCGTCAGGTGTCACCAGGTGAATGTTGATCCATTGTTGCATTTCTGAATACAAGATGCAGCTGTTGCAGCATAAAGATCAATCAATGCATGCACACATCATCAATTTTATTTCAAAATTTGAGATGCAGCTGTCGTAGTATATAGACAATGTAAACATCATCAATTTCATTTCAAAATAAATATTTTTCAATAATTATAAAGTTCTGTCAACAAACATCTTGTTATTGTATATATATATATTAATGTTTGTGTTATTGGCACAATTCTCTATCTTCAGGTTTTCCCTGGAAAACGAAAGTGAAAGTAGATTTTGGAGAGTGAATATAAATGTTAATTATTGAATTTAAGTTCAATTTGATCAATCATAAGTCACTTGATTGGAAGAGATTCCCAACACCTTCTTATATCTTGTAATCAATAACTTGTTATATATAATATTATTATATTTTGTGTTAATTTTGAAAATCTGTATGGAGTAAATAAGTACTGATCATTATATATATTAGCTACATACATTGCAGTGCATGTGTATAAGCAAACCTATATTAAACAATCATTGAGAATATTATTATATGAAAGTGTTGTCTGTTCAAAACGTAATCAATGAGATAGTAGAATGTTTTCAAAATACTTCCAAGTATATATAAACAAGCCTATTTTAAACATGTGTCTGTCTTGATCACATGGTTGTGCCTGATAAGGTTTGCTTATACACATGCACTGATACATTGTATGTATATCAGGGGCATGGTCTAATTAAGGGTCGATGGGAATAATAATGTTAAGTGATTCTGTTGTCTGCTCAAAAAAATCGTTGTCAGTACAGAATTAAACTAGTATGTGAATTACTTTTATGATCTTAACAAGACCCAGTGCTCAAACAACGTTATTAATTATGTTGATCATAATAAGTTCTGTAAACATTAAAGGAGCAAGATTATAAATGTCACGAAAAAAGGACAATAAAGTAGTAGCATTTAATAAAGGAAAGCAAGGAAGCAACAGAAGTCCATAAAAAGTCTGTTGACATCTACTGGAGCACAGCTTGTGTGTTGTTTTATGATATTAGTGCGCAAAAAAAAAGCAAGGACAAACACATTGATGCATATATATATATATATATATAAAATTTTCATTTCAAATTAACATGTACCATCATAATATCATGACATTACGTGTCATTGCTTCTATCGGATGTAATTCATTCTGTTAACAGCCGTATTAAGATTTACTTTCGTTCTATATCCTGTTTGTATACGCCTCCAGTGTAACGTTACATACAATGGCAATGTTGATAATCCCGACATTTTATTTGTGCGAATCCCGGAAGAGACCAGCTGTCCAAAAAACAATCAGAACACTTACCAAAGGAACAGTTAGCACGTCTTTCTCCGCAAGTTTCTTCTCTTCCTTCTTGTCTTGTGGGATGACCTTGTAGATCGTCATGGCGCCGAAAAATCCAGCAGTCCTGACGAATAATTCCTCTTATCTGACTTTTCCAAATTTATTATGGTGGACTTCCGGTTTTGATATACGTCACTTTACAAAAATCTCGTTGGCCTGTACGAGAACTGGCCTGAGCCAATCAACTGTAGAAGATTTCGCGGTTTATGTTATGTTATGAAACTCCACGTGTAATTTGGTAAACAAACTCATTCAGAAGTGCGTGATTTTCATCACTTTATCACGAAAACGCACCGACGAATCTGTGCATGCAGCTTGACGGCCTGTGCCTTAGTAATGTAATACATTGTCATTTATTACATAGGTCAATTTATTCTCAAGCATAAGTTAAACGTAAACTAAAACTGTTCTAAAATCATATTTCATAGACTTAATTGCAGTTGTCTGCATGGGTTTCATAAGCAAATATTGGACAGAAGTTTAATTGTTGTTAGTTTGTCTTGAACAGATCCAGTACACTTTGCCGATTGAGCTGTTTAGGCCTAGCTGTAAAGACCCATGTTGAGCTGTGGCTTGTATAGACTTATAGGATCAAATTAGCTAGAAATACCTATATACTGTATAAGTCTATACAAGCCCCTGTGGTTCAGTACTGCTATATAGCTCAATCGGCAGTGTACTGTACCTGTTTAAACCAACTAAATGTAACACATGGTATACATATGTACAGACTTATACTGACTGAATTAATTTCACTGAAGGAGAACAGTGCCATGGACCAGAGACATAAATTACAATATATACGTCTCTGCATGGACTTGTGCTTTTCCTGTGAGACTATAGTACTCCTCCACTTAGTTTTAGTAACACACATTGTATGTAGATTGCCATAGTTTAATACACACAGTTTGGATTTGTTTTTATTTAAATGTAATATGCTTGTCATAATTTGTCATAATTTGTAATATTGTTATACACATATATAATATCTGGTTTGAATTGATCTGTCAAAAACCTTTGTACAGTGAGACATCGACAAGTACATCATATACAGTATGTCTGTCCAATTTGACAAACTTTGACATGCTTGTGCTTTGCACAACTCGGTGCTGCCATAAGACTAAAATGCTATATATGCTCCTGATTGCTTCTTCCTATCGCTGATCATTTACAGGTGTGTCAACCTGTCTGTGATTGGTTAACCACAACATCTATTGATCAGTAAATGTATGTCAACCTGTCTGTGATTGGTTAACCACAAGATCTATTGATCATTGCATGTATGTTTCATGTGAAGATTTATGTGATATTTCAATTTTCCGTAATAGTGATGGCCGATAGTAAAGATCGTAAATCAAATAAGCGCAAGCTTGATTCTGATAGTGAACAAGCTAACACTGGAAAACCGTCATCCAAATTAGCAAAGACAACAAGTCCAACAAAGCAAACTGGAGGCGATTTTATAACACAGATAATAGGTCTCAGAACGGCAGTATGTGACTCTGTAGCAGACTTCAAGTTCAACAAGAAGCGGGTGCGTGTATTATCTGTAGTGCAGGACTTCCCCGAGTCTTGTAATGGCATTGTGTACTGGATGTCTAGAGACCAGAGAGTACAAGGTAAAATATAGGTCCTTTCAGCAAAGCAGTAAATCAGCTGACCCATGGTCAATTGGTCATCCTCAAAATTCCAGGGGTTACTCTCTCTTACGTTCTCTGCACATGTGGAATAAGTCATAATGAAATCAAAGGCTAGATGTTTATGCAATGTTGTGAATGATGCAAGTACGTAGAATAGTTTGATCATCTCATGTACAACAAAAGTACGTAGACTAGTTTGATCATCTAATGTACAACAAAAGTACGTAGAATAGTTTGATCATCTCATGTACAACAAAAGTACGTAGAATAGTTTGAGCATCTAATGTACAACAAAGGTACGAAGAATTGTTTGATCACCTAATGTACAACAAAGGTACGTAGAATAGTTTGAGCATCTAATGTACAACAAAGGTACGAAGAATTGTTTGATCATCTAATGTACAACAAAGGTACGTAGAATACTTTGATCATCTAATGTACAACAAAAGTACGTAGAATAGTTTGATCATCTAATGTACAACAAAGGTACGTAGAATAGTTTGATCATCTAATGTACAACAAAGGTACGAAGAATTGTTTGATCATCTAATGTACAACAAAGGTACGTAGAATAGTTTGATCATCAAATGTACAACAAAGGTACGTAGAATAGTTTGATAATCTAATGTACAACAAAGGTACGAAGAATTGTTTGATCACCTAATGTACAACAAAGGTACGTAGAATAGTTTGATAATCTAATGTACAACAAAGGTACGAAGAATTGTTTGATCATCTAATGTACAACAAAGGTACGTAGAATAGTTTGATCGTCTCATGTACAACAAAAGTACATAGAATAGTTTGATCATCGCATGTACAACAAAAGTACATAGAATAGTTTGATCATCGCATGTACAACAAAAGTACATAGAATAGTTTGATCATCGCATGTACAACAAAAGTACATAGAATAGTTTGATCATCGCATGTACAACAAAAGTACATAGAATAGTTTGATCATCTCATGTACAACAAAAGTATGTAGAATAGTTTGATCATCTCATGTACAACAAAAGAAGAGGTAAACATGAACCAGCTTTGATGTCGGGTGTCCCAGCTCCTCTGTTATCATCAAAGAAAAGGTATAAATCAAGCAATTTGGTCAGTTCTTTCATGTGAAACCAATCAAATAGCGTAATTTCAGTGCTTCTTCAGTTTTGTCATGAAATACTGCTAGGGTGCAGATAGAGAAAGTAAGAGAGTGAATCCATGACCCATTGGATTTTGAGAATGACCCTTGGTGTCCAGATCAATAATTTGAGGATGCATAGTGTTTGATAAATGTTGGTAATATAATTATAAGTATTGTCTGTGAGGGATTAGTTATATATTAGCTCCCCCACTAAGTGACGGTTCTAGCTAACATATATACTGCATAGTACATCAACCAGTGCTTATGTTTACTAGGTATATTTTATAATTCAATTTTGATGATTTTTTAATTAATTGAATCAAAAATGATATCTATTATTTATTGAAAGTATTCCTAATTCATTTTCAGATAACTGGTCCATGCTGTATGCTCAACGTCTGGCTCTAAAACTTAAGGTACCCCTGGTTGTGTGTTTCTGTCTGGTACCCAAATTTTTAGAGGCCACCATTCGACATTATGGGTTCATGTTGAGGGGACTCGAGGAAGTAGAACAGGTACATTTTCTTCTTATTCACAGGAAAATTAACTTTTTTAAATCAGACAAGATAAACAGCTTAACCCAATTATAGTATTTGTGATGACGACTTCATCTTAATATAAATATATTTTACAACCATCATTAAACAAGTTACTAAAAGGTATTATAGATTCTCAAAAAGTTGATGAGTCCTACAGGAAAAGCTTGAGTCCAGGATTCAACAGCGGTGCCTAAGACTCTAAATGTTTACTTGGTCAAGTTCACAGTGTCCTAATTATATAAGGACAGTGCACTGTCATATGATCTGTGGGCATTGCAGATATTCGGCAAGATTCTTCAAAATATCTTAAACAGTTCAAAAGTTACAGACCAGAATAAATACTACTGGAAAGTTTGATTTTTTTACCTTTGACCTTGAGGTCAAGGTCACCCTGTTCTAATGACAGTACACTGCACATTGCCTGAAGGTGATACAGGTACACTGCAAGTTTCTTCATGGCATTGTTAAGGGTTTAAAAGTTACGGCACAGACAAGATGTCTTGAGAAGTCTGCACTCATTTGACTTTTGACGTTAATTTTTAGGTCAAGGTCATATTGACCTAATGACAGTGCACTGCACATCCTCTGTCGGAGATTCATGTATACATCATGTAAACTGGTATAACAGTTACGACCAAGACAATATATTCCTCAAAACATTTTCACTTATTTGACCTTTGACCTTGAGCCTTTCAATCATGGAAAAACATGTACCAACCAGCAAGGTTTGAAAATTGTGCCAACTATTCAATCTTTATCTTCAAAAAATATACCACATTTTCCTTAATTTATAGGAATGCCGATCCCTGGACATAAACTTCCACTTACTGCAAGGTTATGCCAAGGAAGTTTTGCCCAGGTTTGTGGAAGACAATGACATTGGAGGTGTAGTGACTGACTTCTGTCCCCTGCGAGTCCCACTGGGATGGGTAGATGATGTCAAGGAAAGACTGCCAAAGAAGGTGCCATTTTGCCAGGTGAGAAAATTGAATCCTATACATGATTAGAAAGATTACATAAAGGCAAAAAAAGAAACAAACAAATTTTTGTACACTGTACTTTGAAATGAATACTGGTGCTTTGAAATAAATGCAGAAAAAAAGATGCTTCATAAATTTGCAGAGGGCAGAATTCTACGATATAATATATTTCGTAAAATTACCTGTACTTACATTTTTCTTGTCTATGGATCCCCAGACTTGAGCAGGTCTTATGTGTGTAGATAATATAAGGTCATGAGTCGATAGACTTGCTCAAGTCCATATATAGATGGGAAAATAGGTGATAAACATGGTAGATTGAAAGCCAGTCTAAAGTGCATTCTGTTCATGATTATGGTACACTTTAAGGTTAATTTCCATTTTGGATATTTTCTATCAAAGTAGGGCAAAAATAATTTTTCTGGATGGAGACCCCAAGGGGTACCTGTTTAATTTGACAAAAATTCATGTCTAAAATAAAAGTAAAAAGTAGTAGATCATTTTAATTTATTTGACAACTTTCCCTTGATATATAATCAATTGTCTATCACAATGATATATTATTTCCTACAGGGTAAACATCAACTCTAGATCCAGGCTCTCTGGCTTAGCCCTTCATCAGGGACTGAATGGTGACACTGATAAGTCGTAACACTTCAAGTTAATAAAGAACTTGAACTTGAACTTAAATGGTACATTTCTATATCTAACTAATATTTAATACCCTATTGTCAATTTGAAATATTCAAAATCACAGATTGATATCTGTTGTTGTAGGTTATCCTGTGTGCTTGTACCAGGAAGTATGTATATATATATATCATGACTAGGACAGCAGTTACACTCACTCCTTTACAAATCCTGGTATAATTGTCATATGATAATTTTACACTTGGCTTTATGCCATGTATGCCCGTGTTTGTACTGTGGTTATGTGATCATGAAGGCCAAACAAAATCATGACCCTGTTTCCTGTTGTCACTCACAGTGTCTAGTATACTGAGATAATGTAAAATCATGTCCCTGTTTCCTGTTGTCACTCACAGTGTCTAGTATACTGAGATAATGTAAAAGCATGTCCCTGTTTCCTTTTATGTCCATGTTTGTACTGTGGTTATGTAATATAAAGGCCAAGCAAAATCATTAGCATGTGTCCTGTGTATGTGGCTGGCAAATTAATACAATTACACTGTCCGAGTTTCTCCTTTCTAATTGCCTTATATTAGGTAATATTTCCTTCAGGCTCTTCTGTTGTACTAAATGTTATAAACCAGTATTTATATACATGTATCCAACATCTATTTGAAAAACTGAAATAAAAGAAAAGAAAAAACTTCAGGTGCCAATCAAGGGAACTTCCAATGGTACTGAGTACGATAAGAATGAGACTTGAAGATGAAATAATTTGTATTTCCCTAGCTAGAAAGGTGGAAAAACATTCTTAGTGCATGTGTAAGGTTTAACATTTTGTCCCACCTAAATATAGACAAGTCATTCCAAATAAACTACATCCACGTGTATATATAAGTTAATACTTCCTCATTCCTAGTTGTGTATGTTCCATTTCGAGTCGGAATCAAGGAAAAACAAATTGGCTGTCAAGCAGCCATCATGGATTTTGACTTTTTGTTATCAAAATCTCTAAAAAGTGTTTGATAGATCTTTCAAATTATTTATTAGTAGGACCCCCTTAGTCCTCAGTTAAATAAGTGCTATTTTGAGACTGATTGGAACAAGAAAATGACGACCAGGAGGCAAGGCTATCTTGAATTTTGAAGATTATTTATGATATTTCTCAAGAAGAACTTTACAGATCTTTCTCAGATTTCATATGTATGTCCCCCTTGTTCTAAGTTGTAAGTGGTTTATTAGCTCACCTGGTCTAAAAGACCAAGGTGAGCTTATGCCATACCGCAGCGTCCGTCGTTCTGCGTCCGTCGTCTGTCAATTTTACACTACTAGTCATGAACCACTGAGCAGATTTTAACAAAATTTGGTGTGGAGCATCCTTGGGTGAAGAAGAACCAATTTTGTATAAATGGTGGGTCTGGCCCCCCTGGGGGCTGAGGGGTGGGGCCTTATAAGGGAAATATAGCAAATTCTTTAAAATCCTTCTTCTTCTGTAGTAATGGAAGGATTTGTTCCATATTTGGTCTGAAGCATCCTTTGGTGAAAGGGAACTAATTTTGTATAAACCGTGGATCTGGCCCCCCAGGTGCCTGAGGGGCGGGGCCCAATAGGGGAAATATAGCAAATTATTCTTTAAAATCCTTCTTCTGTAGGAATGAAAGGATTTGGTCCATATTTGGTGTGGAGCATCCTTGGTTAGTGGGGAACCAACTTTGTATAAACATGGGTCTGGCTCACCAGGGGCCTGAAGGGTGGGGTACGTCCAATAGGGGAAACAGCAAATTATTCCTTAAAATCCTTCTTCTTCTGTAGGAATGAAAGGATTTGGTCCATATTTGGTGTGGAGCATCCTTGGTTAGTGGGGAACCAATGTTGTATAAACCATGAGTCTGGCTCACCAGGGGCCTGAGGGGCGGGGCCCAATAGGGGAAACAGCAAATTATTCTTAAAAATCCTTCTAATTCTTCTGTAGGAATGAAAGGATTTGGTCCATATTTGGTGTGGAACATCCTTGGGTAAAGGGGAATCAATTTTGTATAAACAGTGGGTGTGGCCCCCCTGGGACCTGAGGGGTGGGGCCAAATAGGGGAAATAGACGTAAATCTTCAAAATCCTTTTTCTTCGGTAGGAATGACAGGATTTTTCCCATATTTGGTCTGAAGTATTCTTGGGTGAAGGGGAACCAATTTTGTATACACGATGGGTCTGGCTCCCCAGGGGCCAGATGGGCGGAGCCTAATAGAGGAAACATAGCAAATTATTCTTTAAAATCCTTTTTCTTCTGTAGGAATGAAAGAATTTGGTCCATATTTGGTGTGGAGCATCCATGGGTAGTGGGGATCCAATTTTGTATAAACCATGGGTCTGGCTCCCCAGAGGCCTGAGGGGCGAGGCCCAATAGGAGAAACATAGCAAATTATTCTTTAAAATCCTTCTTCTTCTGTAGGAATGAAAGGATTTGTTCCATATTTGGGCGGAAGCATTGGGTGAAGGGGAACCAATTTTGTATACACCATGGGTCTGGCTCCCCAGGGGCCAGATGGGCGGAGCCTAATAGAGGAAACATAGCAAATTATTCTTTAAAATCCTTTTTCTTCTGTAGGAATGAAAGAATTTGGTCCATATTTGGTGTGGAGCATCCTTGGTTAGTGGGGAACCAATGTTGTATAAGCCATGAGTCTGGCTCACCAGGGGCCTGAGGGGCGGGGCCCAATAGGGGGAACAGCAAATTATTCTTAAAAATCCTTCTAATTCTTCTGTAGGAATGAAAGGATTTGGTCCATATTTGTTCAGAAGCATCCTTGGGGAAAGGAGAACAAACTTTGTATAAATGGTGGGTCTGGCCCCCCTGGGGGCTGAGGGGCAGGGCCCAATAGGGGAAATATAGCAAATTCTTTAAAATCCTTCTTCTGTAGGAATGAAAGGATTTGTTCCATATTTGGTCTGAAGCATTCTTGGGTGAGGGGGAACCAATTTTGTATACCCCGTGGATCTGGCCCCCCAGGTGCCTGAGGGGCGGGGCTTAATAGGGGAAACATAGCAAGTTATTTTTTTAAACCCTTCTTCTGTATGAAAGGATTTGGTCCATATTTCGTGTGGAACATCCTTGGGTAAAGGGGAATCAATTTTGTATAAACGGTGGGTGTGGCCCCCCTGGGACCTGATGGGTGGGGCCAAATAGGGGAAATAGACGTAAATCTTCAAAATCCTTCTTCTTCGGTAGGAATGACAGGATTTTGCCCATATTTGGTCTGAAGTATTCTTGGGTGAAGGGGAACCAATTTTGTATAAGCGGTGTGTCTGACCCCCTGTAGGCAGAGAGGCAGGGCCCAATAGGGAAAATAGAGGTAAAACCTTTAAAATCCTTCTTCTACCATAGGGATTAAGGGATTTTATGCTAATTTAGTCTGGAGCATCCTTTGGCCAAAGGGATTCAATTTTATATAAGCAGTGGATGTGGTCTCCCAGGGGGCAGAAGGGTAGGGCCCAATAGGAGAAATAGAGGTAAAACCTTTAAAATCCCTCTTCAACCATCGAGATTAAGGAATTTTAGCCTTAGTCTGGAGCATCCTTGGGTCTCAGTTTTGTATTCGGCCCCAGCCCCCCCCCCCCCCCCCCCCCATACACTGTGATTTGTTATTTTGTCTACCCAGTAATTACAACTTATAGATTTGTCATTCTGATAATAAGGAAATGAGATATTGTCTGGAGTGCCAGTTTCCTGAATCGTGTTTTAAACCTTGCAACTCTACCATTGTACTTATATGTACATCATGACTTTCCTGTATATCAAGTAAACCATTCAAATCTGTCTAACAGGAAGAGAACTTTCTATCAAGTATGTATCCTACATCTGGCATAGTGACAAAATAGTCTGCACTGTACAATGACCTCCTTGTCAACTCGCATCAATATGTTGTGTTTATTTATATGATGTATTCAAAATAAATGGTATAAAACCTGAAAATCATTTAATCTGCATATGTAAAGAAAGAGCTTAGCATGGCATTACAAAAGTACACAAAAGTATGATACTTTTGCAAGATTTAAAGTTATTAATCGTTCCAAGAGTATAGAGTGACATTGGTAGATCAAGTAAGATATTCTGTTTATTTTGTGAACATGGATGTGAAGGTTCATGGCAGTCAAATAGGAAATTAATGAAGTCTGAAGAGCGATGATGCCTGTATGTGAAGGTTCATGACAGTCAAATAGGAAATTGATGAAGTCTGAAGAGCGATGATGCCTGTATGTGAAGGTTCATGACAGTCAAATAGGACATTAATGAAGTCTGAAGAGCGATGATGCCTGTATGTGAAGGTTCATGACAGTCAAATAGGACATTAATGAAGTCTGAAGAGCGATGATGCCTGTATGTGAAGGTTCATGACAGTCAAATAGGACATTAATGAAGTCTGAAGAGCGATGATGCCTGTATGTGAAGGTTCATGACAGTCAAATAGGACATTAATGAAGTCTGAAGAGCGATGATGCCTGTATGTGAAGGTTCATGACAGTCAAATAGGACATTAATGAAGTCTGAAGAGCGATGATGCCTGTATGTGAAGGTTCATGACAGTCAAATAGGACATTAATGAAGTCTGAAGAGCGATGATGCCTGTATGTGAAGGTTCATGACAGTCAAATAGGACATTAATGAAGTCTGAAGAGCGATGATGCCTGTATGTGAAGGTTCATGACAGTCAAATAGGACATTAATGAAGTCTGAAGAGCGATGATGCCTGTATGTGAAGGTTCATGACAGTCAAATAGGACATTAATGAAGTCTGAAGAGCGATGATGCCTGTATGTGAAGGTTCATGACAGTCAAATAGGACATTAATGAAGTCTGAAGAGCGATGATGCCTGTATGTGAAGGTTCATGACAGTCAAATAGGACATTAATGAAGTCTGAAGAGCGATGATGCCTGTATGTGAAGGTTCATGACAGTCAAATAGGACATTAATGAAGTCTGAAGAGCGATGATGCCTGTATGTGAAGGTTCATGACAGTCAAATAGGACATTAATGAAGTCTGAAGAGCGATGATGCCTGTATGTGAAGGTTCATGACAGTCAAATAGGACATTAATGAAGTCTGAAGAGCGATGATGCCTGTATGTGAAGGTTCATTACAGTTAAATAGGAAATTAATGAAGTCTATATAGAGCGATGGTGCCAATATTCTATTTTCAAAAAGGGTCACCGAGCTTGATTCACTCGTACAAGAGTGATTGTCTGTGAAAACATGCATGAAGATATACCCCAGACATACTTTATAAAGGAAAAGGTGAAAGGTCAAGGTCAAAAATAGGTCACAGTCACCAACTTTTTGTACTTGACATTCTACCATCACAGGATATATTTATTAAATCTGGTTACTCCCAGTGAAAAAGGATAGAAGATATATGCCATGGACAAACTTTCGGGACACACAGAGAGTGCAAATCTATAGTGCCCTCGCCCGGAACTGTTAGAGGACTTACAAATTGCACTTGGTGTAAAATTTTCCATAGATCATAAGAAATACAATTGAAATTATATTTATAGAATTTATAAAGGCCTGAACCTCTTTAGGCACCATAAATGACCAAAACAAAAAGTTTCACATACTTCCAAAATCTTCCGAAGTTCTGTTATTGTGATGGCATCGGTGTGTATACACTAATGACATGATTCACTGTATATATATTTTTGATAGGTGGATGCCCACAACATTGTCCCTTGCTGGGAAGCCTCCCCGAAACTTGAATACGGTGCAAGAACCATCAGAAACAAGATCCACAACCAGCTGTCTGGGTTCCTCACAGAGTTCCCACCAGTGTGCCAACACCCACACAAGTCAAAGCTGAATTCTGAAGTAAGTAAGAAACATGATGGCTATACATAAGTCTTCGAGGGTGGTTAAACCTTGATTAAAATGATTTAAATTTTGTGACATTTTCACAGACACAGTACAATGATCACAATTTCACATTCAAAACGCTCTGATGTGTGACCAGATATACTGCTGCCATTTTGTTAACAAACAGGTGTCTTTTTAGGGGCATTGATAAAATACTCCCTCTCTCTTAATGGTACAACCTAGAACCGGCAACATGAAAAATATCTAAATTTTATCCTAAGTTATGAACAGCAAATCTAGTTTCATTTATCCAGAAATGTGTAATCCTTGACTTTTGCTCTGACAGAACAAGTATCTGTATTAATAAAAGAGTTACAAGCTGTATTGCTGTGCAGTACTGCTATACATACTTGAGAAAGCTTTGGGTTTATTTGATGGTTTGCTGTTTGATACCACATATTTCATGAGTCGGGCGGAATACTCATGAGTGCAAATTAAAGCACGAGTGAAAACAATGACATTCTGCCATACCAGTAAAATGATTAAGTGTTCAACAGGAAAATCATGAAATTTTCTAATTTGTTTATTTATATTTTAAGTGAAACGATTGAAATATTTCTACATTATAAAACTGGAAATTTATAGTTTGATCTGTAGTGTGATCTGTAGTGCCATGTAATGACATCGTGTTTGACAACAAGCCTGCATGGCATTTTAAATGGGCTACTCAATAATTCTACCTTTATCTGCTATTATATGTATGATCTGCCAGCAAAAATGTAATTAGCGCACCTGGCCCGAAGGGCCAAGTGAGCTTATGGCATGGTGCGGCGTTCATCGTCCGTCCGGCGTCAACTTTTTACTTTAAACAACTTCTTCTCAGTAACAAAAAGGCCTAGGGTGATGATATTTTGCTAGAAGCATGCTGGGATGAATGGCTACCAAGTTCATTCAAATAAATGACCTTCATCCATTTTCAAGGTCACAGGGGTCAAATATGTTAAAATCTTTAAACAACTTCTTCTGAATAACCGAAAGAGCTAGGGTAGTGATATTTGGCCAGTGACTTTAAATCATATTCAAGGTCACTGGGGTCAAATATATTAAAAACATTTAAACAACTTCTTCTGAAGGTCACAGTGGTCAATATATGTTTAAATCTTTAAATGATTGGTTCTGTATAACCAAAAGGTACAGGGTAATGATATTTTTCTAGAAGCATGCTGGGTTGGAAGACTATGTTCAACATTCAAGGTCACAGGCGTCATATGTTTAAATCTTTTAATAGGTTCTTATGAATCAAACACTGATATTCTGTCTGTAGTTGTATTTTAGTCCACTTTTAAGATTACAAGTGTGAGATTAAAACCAGGTGAGGGATTCAGGCCCATTGGGCCTCTTGTTCAGTATTTAATTATATAGAGATACAATATTGTATGTACCAAAGATTTAAAAATAAAACCAACAGTCGCTGTATATTTATATTACCTGCAGCTGAATAGAAAATCTGCTGCTTCGAATGCAGTGAATAGAAAACACCAATCTGATTGGTCAAAGCTTTAAAGCGATATCATTACATGTAAAAATGAAATAAATCAATATAATTAATAATTATGACTGATGTCAACAGAGCATAGACTGGGCGAGTGTGCGGAGCTCACTGGAAGTGGACCAGTCCGTACCAGAGGTGTCATGGTCCACGCCGGGATCTAAAGGAGGCCTCGCCATGCTAGAGTCCTTCTGTAACGACCGTCTCCGCTATTTTTCCTCAGACAGGAACAATCCAAACAAAAATGCTATCAGCAATCTGTCACCATGGATACACTTTGGTAGGTCATTGATATTGATGCATATATGCAGTGTGTCCTTTCTTGATCTAAATTGTTTAATTTGTGAAGTTTACAGCATATCTCAGACTGTCGGTTGTATAATTAACATCAGGGTAAATATTTAGAGGTTATCATATGACTATTTCCATATCCTACTCGACATCAGCCTCAGACTCCCATATCAGTCTGAGCTGATCATGAGTGGCTGGAGGCTATTTTTTAGAAAGTACTAAAATGGTCTTTCTTTTAAAAGGAAGGGTTTCCATGTACCCTAGTTATGCATACCAAATTTTCAGACTGATAGGAAAAGGAAGAAAAAAAATGGCCCACAGGTGGCCATCCTGAATTTTTAGAGTTAAAGTTTGTTAGGGCTATTTCTCAGCTAGTATCACAGGGATCTTTCTCAAATTTTACACGAGGGTTCCTCATGGTCCTTAATTATGCATATTGATTTTTTGGACTAATAAGAAAACCAAGATGGCGACCAGACAGCCATCCTATATTTTGACAGTTGAATTTGGTTATGACTGTTTGATATGTATGATTCCTTTTATCACTTCATTAAATTCCCGTCACTAATGAGAATTCATCCCTCAATGACAGCACTTCTAATTATGTAAGAATTACAAATTTTCACCATTTGCATCTAGTTATACAATTCTTACAAAACAACATTTGTCATAGTGGCAAATAACATCATGAGTTTCAAGTTAAGGAAATTGAAGAGCAAAGAAGGTAAAACATCATCTTTTATAGATTGGATGAAGATCCCTTCATGGTAGGTGCCAAGACCCTTCTAGAATCTCGTCATTACACACCTAAGAGCAAAGCCCAAATCATAGCCATTAACAGCTATGCTTGGGTGACCACATGTTGTACGCAGCAGGGCCAGTTCAAAATGATAAATTGTTTCCTTTAAAACATTACTCATTATATACTTCATGTCTCTACATGAACTCAGATCCTGAAAAAAGACCTGGAAGTAAGTTTTTTATATCCTATTTTGTTTCTTCACAGGGCAGATCTCTGTACAGCGCTGCATCCTCACGGTACGGAAATACCGCAGTAAGTCGAGTGAGGGCGTCAATGCTTTCATTGAGGAGGCTATCATCAGACGGGAGCTATCTGATAATTTCTGCTACTACAACAAAAACTATGATTCTGTTGAGGGTAGGTATCTCTAATCTGCAACAAGTAAGTCACACGCAACATCAGTATACAAAAAAAAATTAAAAAATATGTATATCTGTCTATCAAAAAGGGGATTCTAGTGATTCTGCTGTGTATATGTATCTCTGACAAGTCAAGTGATATGATAAAGCTATTGCAAGTGATACATTGTTACTATTGAACCCATTCTCTTCCACACTAGTAATGCAAGCCAACTTCGATTCTGTTTGTTAGATAGGTATTTCTACATAACATATTTCAAATTCACAGAAATGTATTTATCAATAGGTTTCCTTTACACTAAAGGAAATCTATTGATAAAGACATTACTGGCAGATAAATTTGGTAAAATTAAAAATTGTCTTAATATGCAAACAAAGATTAAGCCTATAACTTGGAGAGTTCACACAAGACCTGCACTATTTCCTCACTCAGGCACATTATAGGCCAACTCGCTAGGTTGGTGTTTTGCCCAGTATAACAATAAGCATGACACTGCAGGCGAGCTACCAAGTTCGAGTCAGCCTATAGCTATCAGGCCTACCTTTTCCAGTAGCCTTGTTTTTGCAATGTTTCTATTTTAAGTGTCTGAATATAGATTTCAGAGATAGAATTTCCTCAAAACCTGTTCAATTTTGATTTCTTCATCAGAATCATTCTCATTAGATCAGGAACATGTTGAGAGAGGTATAATTTAACAAAACATGTAGAAATGTCAATTCAACTTTTAACTTGTTCATTCAGACATGATACATTGTATTTCCTTGATCAGAAAATTACTTGATTCATTGTCAAATAGCAGTGGTACTGTATTCTAGAATTCAGAAACTTGACTTCTCTTTACTACAGCCTACAGATTTGTAAGTGGAAGTAACAATTATAAATAAATTGTACAGTGACCGATTTGTCTAGTTGCTGCTCTATACATATGAAGGAACAAGTCAGTTGCCATACAATGTTTGTATCATTTAAAATACTGTTGGCACCTATGTGTGGGAAAACCAGTCACTATTCATTGTAAATACACTTGCAATGCTATATTTGCTTTTGAGCATGATGCACATCGGCCACTGTGTATTGCAACTACAATGTATCATGCTGTAAGTGCTGAAGACGGGACAAATAACTTGTCATATAATATATACCACACTTAACAATGTTGTAGGAGCCTATGACTGGGCGAAGCAGTCACTTAAATGCCATGCCTCGGACAAAAGGGAGTATCTTTATACAAGAGATCAATTGTCTAAGGGGAAAACACATGATGACCTCTGGAATGCAGCCCAGGTAAATGCGTTATATGGTTGTGCATGCAAATAATACAGTTATCATGATTTCTGCTATTTCAAGAATTTTCATTATTTTCAGAAAATACAAATATTGCTCCTGTAAACAACAGCTCCCAAGCTTTACACAAACGAACATTAGTTATCTTACCTTCAACTTCGAATAAAGTAATACATTTTTATTTGAAAGGTGAAGAGATTTTAAAGTTGAAAGACATGTTCAAATATCATTATTGCATAAAATGATTCTTAATAGATGTGAAAATAAATGTTGTATATTATATATCATTACCAGGGTAAACAAAATGAGTAGGTTGTTGTGTGTTTGCTAACAAATTTCCCAAGCAATCTATTGATTACAAACTTGATCATTGCACACTTTCACAACACTTGTGGATTTTCCTATTTAATCTTTCTATTGTACATCTGATGGTTGCACAGTGTACTATTAAAACACATCAGGAATTTTTAGGTCACCTGAGCTTTAGCTCAAGTGACACCTATTGCTATCCGTCTTCGTCCGTCGTCGTCCGTTAACATTTTACATTTCAAACTTAAAGTCAAGTTCTGCTGGGCCGATTGAACTGAAAGTTGGTAGGAATGATCTACTCATGGTCCTGACAAAGTGTTGTTATTTTTCAGGTCAATCAGAAATCCAATATGGCCGCCACGGGCGCCATTTTGAAAAACTATTTCAAACTTAAAGTCAAGTTCTGCTAGGCCGATTGAACTGAAAGTTGGTAGGAATAATCGACTCATGGTCCTGACAAAGTGTTGCTATTTTTCGGGTCGATCAGAAATCCAATATGGCCGCCACAGCTGCCATTTTGAAAAACTATTTCAAACTTAAAGTAAAGTTCTACTTGGCCGATTGAACTGAAACTTTTTAGGATGATCGAATTATGGTCCTGACAAAGTGTTGTTATTTTTCGGGTCAATCAAAAATACAATTTGGCTGCCATTATACTTACCTATTTTTTACTCAAATTGGTACATATTTCAACAACAAAAATAAATACTGTAGGACTCAGGTGACCGTTAAGGCCCATGGGCCTCTTGTCTTATTAAGCCTTCATATTCAGAAAAATAGTTTCGTTCATTCAAAACAATAAAACAATAACTTCCTGACTTACAGTGTGAAAGACCATGGGTCCGTATTCATGAAACCGTTCTCATGCTCAAGCAAGGATTATGTGCTCAAACCAACTTTCTTGTAACTCACTTAAATCATGTCAAACGATCAAAGCGTCAAATATAAACATTGAAAACAGTATTCAGCTTTAAGAGACCCTTCAAACTTTTTCAAAATCATTGATAAAAAAGTGATTTTATTATTAATTAATAACTGGAACAGGTTATTAGGCTATAGCATAAAATCCATGCTTGAGCGTGAGAACCGTTTCATGAATATGGGGCCAGATAATGTGTCCTTCAGGCCTGGGAATAGCCAATCAAACAGTTGCCTGAAGCCATCTCCATACAGACTTCGTAATACAAATAAGATATTCTTCTACAGGTATATATTATAGACACCAATCTTATGTATGTATCTGTGCAAACTGAATATGTTACTTGTTGCGTTTAACAATGTCAAGGTCACAATTCCATTTCCATGATAACAGATACAGATGGTGCGAGAGGGAAAGATGCATGGCTTCCTGAGGATGTACTGGGCCAAGAAAATACTAGAATGGACAGAAAGTCCAGAGGTTGCCTTGGAAACAGCCATCTACCTAAATGACAGATTCTCTTTGGATGGCCGGGATCCAAATGGCTATGTTGGTAGGTGTCATATAGTTTACGGTTAATCAGGTTTGATAGAGTAAGGTCTTTGGCTGTGTACAATTTCATACAGTAAAACTCCACATTTTGCGAACACGGTTTACTCAAATACCCCTCATTCGGCGAGCAGTTTGTTTGGTCCCGACCGAGTTCATACATATTCAGGTAACCCCTGGTTAGTCTAATCATTATTCCTCAAATAAAAATGTGTCCCCAACTCTTTATGGTCATAGTATTAATACTATGTATTCATCGACCAGGTGCGACATGTCACTCCTGACAGATAATTTACCTGTGTATCACACTGTCACTGCGAAAATACCTCGGGTTAAGACTACAATTTACCAGTATCGGCAACATGCTTAATAATAGCATAGTACCATTTTACGTAACGTACGTATGTTTAATTATGATCACTCAAGATTTGACAGATATATACTTAACGATCTAGGGCCAACCTTGGATTACTCAAATACCATGTATTCCTAGAACTATTAATCTGGTCCCCACGAGTATGAGTAAGTTGGGTTTTACTGTATGATGATTGGCTATTACTAGTAATAAGTCAAATTTAAATAGAAAATAATCTCAGAGGTAATTCACATATTGAATTACTGAAGGATTGGACTAGAAAGATTTTTATTGTGATAATCAAATGCCATATTTTAAATCCCCATGTGCATGCTTTGATGTGCTAATCTAGTTGAGCTGGGTCTTTTCAACAGTGTATTTACCTTAACCTACTTTTAAGGTCACAGGCATCAATTATATAAAAACCTTTATAGACCTTCTCCTGAATAAACAGGAGACCCAGGGCAACGATATTTTGCCAGTAGGTACCTGGCATGGAGTGCTATAAAATTTCCTCAAATAAATGACCTTGACCTACGTCCAAGTTGAAAGGGGTCAAATATGTAAAAAAAAACTTTAAGCAACAGTTCCTTTTTCTGCCTTACCAGGAGGCCTTTGGTGATGATATTTGACCAGTAGCATAACAGTACATTGTATTACAAAATTTCATTTAGTCTGGAACATTCAAGCCAATTGCAAGGAGACTCAATATATGGAAATATTTTTAAAATTCCTTTTATTGAGAATATCTTCCCATAATTGCTTAAAAATCCAGATGATACATGCCCTCTGGGCCACTTGTCTGTTGATGAAAGAGTGCTGGAATGATTTATGCACTGTATCTCTAGATGACAGATTCCCTTATACAGGTGTTTTGCAAAACATTCCATTTCCTTTATGTAATTTTGTTTACTTTCCTTGTAGGTTGTATGTGGTCTATCTGTGGCATTCATGACCAAGGATGGAAGGAAAGGGAAGTATTCGGCAAAATCCGTTACATGAATTACGCTGGCTGTAAGAGAAAGTTTGACGTAGCTGCATTTGTCACCAAGTACAGGGCCAAGACAAAGTAGCAACAAAAAGTACCAAATACAGGGCCAAGACAAAGTAGCAACAAAAAGTACCAAGTACAGGGACAAGACAAAGTAGCAACAAAGAGTCCCAAGTACAGGGCCAAGACAAAGGAGCAACAAAAAGTACCAAGTACAGAGCCAAGACAAATTAAAGTAGCAACAAAAGGAACCAAGTACAGGGCCAAGACAAATTAAAATAGCAACAAAAAGAACCAAGTACAGGGCCAAGACAAATTAAAGTAGCAAAAAAAGGTACCAAGTACAGGGCCAAGACAAAGTAGCAACAAAAAGTACCAAGTACTCGTGTTTATACAAGTGCAACCTTTCATATCAATGTAAAATGTGCAAGGAATGCATGGCCATTTCTTGCATTATAAAATAGGGATTTTAAGACAACCATTCTTGTCACCTCCAGATTTACAATGGAAGTTATATCAATAACAGACTAAAGTAGGAAATGTTTGGTATGAAATTTTGAAATTACATTGTAACTGTGAAAGTGTCATCATCCATTTCTGTGTTATAATTTTGTCCATATAAACAGAAGATCCCAGACAGGAAAATTTTATTACAAATTAAACGTCTGAATAATCTATATATATATGTCAATGCGATCAATAGTTGTCCTATTATGCCATTATCTACCTCAATGACATGGCTTCTTATTTCTCTATATGAATACTCATAATACTGTTGTTTATTATGCAATTGTTAGATCTGTATCTCAAGCACCATTTTACATGAATTTAGTTTGTGTTCAGCTGTACAGGTATGTATGAATATATTACGATCCATAAATCAAATATATTTGAAACAGATTTACAATTATTTTCATAGAATCTCCTTGTATTTTGTCTACTATTTGTATAGAAACAATTTGATGGTTGTTGCTGTCAGGTCTCACCACTGTCTCATCTCAGTCTATAAACCTGCATGTCTTTGTTAAAGTATCCATATCATTAGGGTATGAAAATCAGATTTGTATAGTTTATTTTCACAAACAATTTCATTGCTATAACAACTTATAAAATATTACTGCAAATATCATGGCAGTTATATTATTTATCACAGTATGAAGTTGTATTTTAACTTGATTTCAAGTTTAATCTTTCTTAATAAAAACAAAATATTCTAAATGATTGACTGATAATGCCAATTGTGTTTATTTTAACGGTCAAATGTATAAATAGTTGAAGTCAACTTGATCTGTTTATTAAATCTGTAATACATTAAATGTTCTGTTATAATCCTTAATTATTTGTTTGCAAGTTCACCATTGAGAGATCTTACTGTTGTTTTTCTTATACAATATTTTTGTTTTACATCAATTATGAAACAACTTTTTTCAACTTATATAAATCAGTCTTTGCTGGGCCTGATAGTAGCATGCAGGGGGTCTTCATGTGGGAAGAAACTCAAGTACCCAGAGAAACTCCACATGGTTGGGCAGGTGACCCGATGTCTTTTCACTACTGATTTCAATACCTTGAACAGTTTTGTCAGAAATTTTTGATTTCAGTACGTTGAACTGTTTTGTCAGAAATTGTTGAGGCTAGTACATTATGCTTTGTAAGCTGTTGTTGAATTTGGTACTTTTTAACTGCTTGGTTATCTATCATTACATGAAACAGTATTACAGTTGCTGAATATTATATCCATTCATTGATCAAGTCAGTAGCTTGTTATTAAATAATGACCACTTATAATAAACTGTTACGTTACCAAATAAATATTGTAGAATAGAAAAACATGTCTTTATTGATTTTTAGCTCACCTGGCACGAAGTGCCAAGTGAGCTTATGCCGTGGTGCGGCGTCCGTCGTCCGTCCGTCCGTCCGTCATCCGGCGTCAATATTTTTCATTAAACGACTTCTTCTTAATAACCGAAAGGCCTAGGGTGATGATATTTGGCCAGAAGCAAACTGGGATGAAGGGCTACCAAGTTTGTTCAAATAAATGACCTTCATCTATTTTCAAGGTCACAGGGATCAAATATGTTAAAAACTTTAAACAACTTCTTCTCAATAACCAAACTGCCCAGGGAGATGATATTTGGTCAGTAGCATGCTAGGGTGAAGGGCTACNTAAACAACTTCTTCTCAATAACCAAAATGCCCAGGGTGATGATATTTGGTCAGTAGCTAGCTGAGATGAAGGGCTACAAAGTTTGTTCAAATGAATGACCTTCACCCATGTTCAAGGTCACAGGGGTCAAATATGTTAGAAACTTTAAACAACTTCTTCTCAATAACCAAAATGCCCAGGGTAATGATATTTGGCCAGTAGCATGCTGAGATAAAGGGCTACAAAGTATGTTCAAATAAATGACCTTCACCCATATTCAAGGTCACAGGGGTCAAATATGTTAAAAACTTTCAACAACTTGTTCTGAATAACCAAAAGGCTCAGGATGTTGATATTTAGTTAGTAGCATATGCTGGGATCAAGGACTGCTATGTTTGTTAAAATGAATGACTATGACTTATATTCAAGGTCACAGGGGTCAAATTTGTTTAAAATCTTCCTCTTATGAATAACCATGGGTCCCAGGATGTTTATACTTTGCAAGGTGCATCCTGAGATGAAAGGCTATACAATGTGTTCAATATAATGACTTTGTTCGACTTTCAATCACAGGGGTGAAATGTTTTTAAAAAAAATAACGGTCTTTTAAACGAATTTTAATCATAACTACTGATATTTTGCCTGTAGCTTTATTTTAGATCACTTTTAAGGTTACAAGTGTGAGTTTTATACCAGGTGAGCGATGCAGGCCCATTGGGCCTCTTGTTTTCTTTTCTATGTGTGTTCTTAGGTTTTCTATTCTTATGAAATCCAATTGATAGTACACAGAAAAAGATGTACCACAGCATTGATACAAAAAGACAATAGGGACAGCGAAAACACATACAAGGTGGTCGTGAAATGTTAAATTATCCACAGAGTGCTCAGGTATAACATTAACCCTTTCACCCCTATGTAACTTTAGTAAACTCTGCCATGCATTGATATGGATAAGTCCATTATGGTCTACAGTGGTGAAAGGGTTAAGGATAACATCTATTATTGCACTATGAGAAATACCTCCATTATTAACAGTTATAATAAACACAGATACATAGATTTTATTCTGACCATAGGACTGGAAATTCTCTACTGTTCGCTCAGTACAATTAAAAACAAATATATAATTGAATAATAGTTATCGCAATATGGAAATATCAACTCATAGTAATTCTAAATGACCGAATATCAACTCATAGTAATTCTAAATGACCGAATATCAACTCATAGTAATTCTAAATGACAGATTATATAGTTATATGAAATGTAATTATTGCCAATTGAAGTTATTAAGTGTGTTCTTAACTTTTTAATAATTATCAATCAATATATTTAACTACAGGTGGGTTAGCATTGATTCTCTATAATTTTAGCATACCAGTTGGTTTCTCCAGTGATGATCGAGGCAAAATTCAAATGACTTAACAGTTCTTGATGAATGTGAAGGTCTTATAAGTGTTCAAACTTGCATGGAAAATGAGTGTAATCTGTGATTTATCACCCAACACTCTAATCAACAGACGACTACTTCAAAAATTACGTGAAGTTATCAAACTTTGAAAAACTTTCATAGTAAATGGTAGTGTAATGCAGTTTAAAGTTAATCCATTACTAATAACAGAAACAAAGGACAAATGTATAAGGAGAATGAAATCAGGTGTCCCGGACGGCTGAGGGTCATCTGCTTCATCGACTTAACCGCCAAGTAAGATTTTGACCTAGAATTGCAAGCATTACCACGTCCTCAAAGCCAGACGTCAGGGGTAGTGACAGAGTGATCAAATAAATAGCATTCCCCATCACATCAAAGATGGCGAACGTAAATGAAGCCCGTACTATTCAATAACACCATATTCATTGCACTTTGTTCATTATACATGTGGATTGAAGTCTACCAGAGAGCATGTTCTGACATTGGCCAACAGGGCACCACGTATGGACCGTACCTATTTCCTGATTCGTAACTATAACCGTTACTAAATTATCATTTACTATTCTATTTATGGACAATGAAATAATTTCATTCGTTCCTTCATGGTTAAAAGTAGATAAGTAACGACAGTTTCTGTCCTTCCCGGTGAACATTTAATGACTATATTTCCTTTCCTTCCTGGTTGGCGTGCAGTAGATATCAGCATTGTTGGGTTGTCTGCAAAGCTCTTCCGTGTTGGGAAGTAGATTGTTATCACTGTCACAATAGTTCACCTACATCAAAGGGTATGTGCTCTATACAAACGAGTTCCTTACAAACAAACTACCAACTCATACAGGATAGTTCCGATTATGTAGTTTGTGATTCAAAGGTAATTTTAATATTACCACGGGATACTTCCGATGATTCAAAAGTTAATTTGATATTATCAAAGAGTAGATTGGAAATTTAGTGTAGAATCCTTCATTTCTTTATTGTAGATTTCATCAAACGTTTCATTTTGAGCCACCGTAAACCAGTTCTTCCAGTCTCCAACCTGACCTGAAAAGATACAACAGAAAATAGCTCGGCTAACAAACAAGAAATTATCTTCGGTTTACTGGCGTGGTTTACTAAAATACCACGGCTATTAAGTTAAATAACGAAAAGGTTGTTTTTTCGGATAAAAAGACCGCAGTGGAGATGTACCGAATGTACTATAGGGATCAGATATAATATACAGTAATATTGTACCTAAGGTACAATAGGGATCAGATATAATATACAGCAATATTGTACCGAAGGTACTTTAGGGATCAGATATAATATACAGCAATATTATACTGAAGGTAATATAGGGATCAGGTATAATAAACAGCAATATTATACCGAAGGTAATATAGGGATCAGATATAATATACAGCAATATTGTACCAAAGGTACTTTAGGGATCAGATATAATATACAGCAATATTATACCGAAGGTACTATAGGGATCAGATATAATATACAGCAATATTGTACCAAAAGTACCATTGAGATCAGATATAATATACAGCAATTTTGTACCAAAGGTACTTTAGGGATCAGATATAATATACAGCAATATTGTACCGAAGGTACTATAGGGATCAGATATAATATACAGCAATATTGCATCTTAGGTACTATAGGGATCAGATATAATATACAGCAATATTGTACCGAGGGTAATATAGGGATCAGATATAATATACAGCAATATTGTAGTGTTATTGTACTGTTATCTTTCCATTAAATTCAAAAGCTGACCTTAATTTCGGTACATTTTCAGAATAACTATAATTGGAAAGGTTATGATGATCAGTACTTTTGAAAATGTTGTAAGTAGTTGAGGATTTTTCGGGAAAAATTAGTAACGTAATGAAACAGTTGTAACCTTGACCTTGGTATTAATTAGTGCTAACCCTGACCCTTTTGACCTGGACATGAAGCTTTGTTGCCTATTAGTCTGATGACCTTCGTGTAGTGGTTTTGAAATAGAAGAGAAAAAGCAAGTGTTCCCATACCGAAATTCGAACTCAAATTCGAAAAAATAAGGGGGAATATGAACAAAGGAAACATTTACGTTGATATCTTTAAAAAAAAAACAAGCATAATTAGATCAGGTGGTCCTTGTGACATTGATCTTCGGTACTGTTGAACTTTGACCTTGACCTGTAGAATTTCTAAACCTTAGGTGAGTGGCCTTTACCTACAGCAGTATTAAACCTAAGACTGGTGACTATGATCTGTTTTACCTTTCCTACATATAGGAGACGTGTTATCTTTAGTGAAAGATTTCCAGGGGGCGCCGAATGTACAACTGCTCCGCATTTTCTGGAAGTCGCATTTCTCCACGATCTTTTCAAATAATTCTTCATTTTCCTCGACCCCAAGAAATTTGGCCGTGTTCCGTACATTCCCTAACAAGTCCTGTTGGAGACAATAAATACTAGTATCATCCAGAAGATCTTCAGTCAACGATGACCTATTTTGTTAAATTATTTTCATCTCCATAACGCATTCAAGCGTTGTATTACAGGCCAATTGGCAGAAGATCGAATTTGGAGATGATTAATGTTTTTGCACAAATAATTAAATCCCAATATCTAGTTCAAGGAACTAACACCAATGGATAGCGAGGAAAAGTTATTAACATATTTAATAACAATACTTTAGTCATTAAATATTAAAACAAGTATGATTTAGACCACAAAGAGACAAAACAGTCAATACCCTTTTCATATCTTCATATTCCAGATGTAATATCGACAAGTTGGGATGTTCCTGTAGTACTGCCTCCCAGAGTCTTGTGTGCTCAAACCAAGACCCGTAAGGAACTGTAACAGTATCCAGAAGTCATCCAACTGAAATAGTGTGCGGAATTCAATCATGATATGGGCCCGTATTTATAATGTTGTAATCGTGCTCATGGAATCTCATGCAAAATGATCAACCCATATTATTTCTTAATTTCTTGTTAGGAGATCAACGGTTAGCTCTCATCAAAGGCATAGAAACCGACTAATGTTCAGGCTTAACAATCATATCATATGTAAAAATATGAATGTCAGGGCTCGTACCAATCAAACCGTTATCATACTCAAACTCAGATTCTCTGCTCAATTCCAATATTTTGTTCCGACAATAATTTATTTAACGTTTAATTGGCAGTTTCACAAGATTAAAGAGAGTTACAGAAAGTTGGTTTGAGCGCAGAATCCAGGCATGAAAACAATTTCATGAATTCTGGCCCTAGTTTGCGGGGTTTCATTAGATCGAAGGGAATAGGGAATGCTAATTTCCTTTGATCACGTGTTTTTTTTTTTGTTACATAAAGGAAACCAAAGTCAGCAAATATACAGTCAAACCTGCACAAGAGACCACCTCTGTTAAGATACCATATGTGTTAAGAGACCAGGTAGTCATCTCCAAATTGCATTTATTTTCATGATTAACCCTGTATTAAAAGAGAGCCTATGATAAAAAGGCAGTCTCCAAAAAAGGTTTGAAGTGTCAACAAATCCGTAATCGAACTCAAGATTCGGCAAATTCGAGCGCTCCTCATATTTGCTTGGGTGCTCGACTTATTAATCACGGTTAAATAACAATACTATTATAAAGCGATTCATACGTACACGTAAAGTCTAATTCGAACGCATGAGAAAATTAATATAGAAAATAAATGTGTGCATGTCCTAAATGTACCACCGTAGAAAATCGATAAGAAATATGGCAAAATGTGATAGATCATGTGTCCCGGAAGGGTTAGCGTCGTCGGCTTCATCGGAAATACTCGCATTATAAACCGATGCCAAATCCACTTAATGTCACGTCAAAAATGAAAACTTATTTGTAGTGAGTAACGTTCTCAGTGATAGATATCTAAATGAAGTTTATGAATTGAAAGTACAGATATCTAAATGAAGTTTATGAATTGAAAGTACTGACCTTGACCGCTTGTAAATAGAGGCAGGAAGCCGTCAAATGTACCGCTGTAACCCCAAGAATCCTCCATTTTTCTCATATGACTGTAGAACGACACAGCGCTATCCTTCATGTTTCTTGTGATGTATATAACACGGCATTTCTTACTGCCGAGTTCCGTTGGAAAATCTTTAAATAAAAAATGGCTAGCTATGATTCTTGGAGATTTCATATCCTGGAAAGTTGTCTCCCCTGAAGGTCCTGATGTAGCGTATGACGTCATATATTCCATCGTTCCTGTAAGAAGTGTGTTGGTGATCTCGTATATCCAGTGTTTACCTATGAAAAAAGGTATATGAAAAATAATCATATGTAAAATAGACAAAGAACATCAACACATGAAGATACAATTGGAGATCCAAGGTAATAGGAAAAGAATGTAAGTAACAATCGAGAAGACATCAAATGTTAATATGCCCAGAATGACGAACGTTGCTCTGCAACAATTGGTACTAAAAAGGTATGTACTGTATCCAGTTAAATTCAAAACATGGACTTTCATAAAACTATTTTATTTTTTGCAACCACAATTTATTTTTTAAATAGTTCATATCTAAATTTTGCCATATATTCTATCCCAAACACAATAAAATCGAAAAAGATAAAACGTAAAAATATAAATTTTCCAATGATTGGAATCGTGTTTTTGTATCTGTATAATGATCAGTGGTCTGGATAAATTTAAGCAAATAGAGTTATCCTACCTGACTTGGGATATGATGCTATGAATACATCGTCATCTCTGATTTGAAGGTTTTTAAACGTGCCCACGCGCGTCTTTAAGTCTGTTTTAGAGTATGTTGGAAACAGTATACCCTCGTATCGGTACATGTTGAACGACGCGCCGTCTTTGTCTGTAATCTTCACCGTCTCCATGGCTCTGTAATGTAACTGACATTGTCAATATAACAATAAATAGAAGAACACACACATTTATTGTGATGTTTATGATTAAAAATTGGTCAAAAAATAACATACTGTAGAATCATTTATTTTCGTGGGGTTAAAATTTCGTAGCCTGGTTTCAAGAACACCATATTTCGCTGATTTCTGATTATTCCCCTATCTATAACATATCAAATTTATGTTTTCGTGGGGATTTAATTTCGTGGATTTTTGCTATTCATAAAATAAAATAAATTTAATATCCCACGATTTATTTTTATTTTACAGTACACAAAATAAAGTTGTCATCGATTTGATAACTTGAACTTTATTAGATTTGCATTATGCAGTCACACCGATGTCTAATTGTATATAATTTGGGTGGTCGGGTGGTGCAATGGATAGTGCATTTGCCTTTCATCAAGGCGGCTCGGGTTCGATCGTCCGTCCGTCAACTTTTCCTTCAAAACGCTTCTAGTCCTGAAAGGCTTAGTGGATTTTAACAAGATTTGATATTGAGCATCTTTGGGCCAAGGGTACTCAATTTAGTATAAACGGGAGGTGTGGCTCCCCTGGGGCCAGAGGGGTGGGTCCAAAAAGGGGAAATAGAAGTAAAACCTTTGTGGCCCCTTTGGGTGCAGAGCAGCGGGACTCATAAGGGGAATTTGAGAATTAAATCTTTAAAATCCTTCTCCTTCTGTTCCATAGGACGGATTTTGTCTGAATTGAGTCTGGAGCATCCTTGGGCAAAGGGGACCTAATTTTGTATAAACGGCGGGTGTGGCCCCTTTGGGTGCAGAGGGACGGGGCTCAAAAGGGGAATTTGAGGTTTAGACTATTGGAGGGATTTTATTTAAATTTGGCCTGGAGTATCCTTTGGCAAAGGGTACTACATTTTGTATTAAGGGAGGGTGTTATCCCCCTTGGTGCATAGGGGCTGGGGTGGGTGCCAAAAGGGAAATTTGAGGTGTAAGTCTTCGAAATCCTTCTTCTTTAGTACTACATGTATATATAGGAGGGCGTGGCACCTCTGGGTGCAGAGTTGTGGGGCCCAATAGGAGAATTTGAGGTTTAAATCTTTAAAATCCTTCTTCTTCAGTATCATTGGTGGGATTTGGTGTAATAAGAATAATTCCAGTGGTAGCTTTAGTATCCATGTGAGCGATATGTAGGCCCTCTGGGCCTCTTGTTTTATAGAAGAGTAGTTGAACATGACTTACCAGGGGGTTGAAATTTAGGGTGACTTTAATAAATGTTATGGTGCTTGTTGAACCCCAATGCATTATACCCGCAGACGGCGGTGAAGAGCTTATGTAAAGTTACTACGCCACGCACTGCCACACACATTTCTAACCTAACCCAATCTCTACCTAGAGTTGTCGTTACTTATCCTCACTCACTATTTGTAATGAACGACAACTCTAGTTAGACCTGATGACCCTCCTCCATAGACTGACACGTGAATTTGGCATGTACCACAAGGCGGTATCCACCCCGAAACATATATGATAGGTTGGGTGTGTAAAGGAAAAGTGTATGGTTTATTTCCGAAAGTAAAAGAAAGGTCACTTGCCTTCTCCAAAATACTGTCGAATGGCTGAAGAACGTATTGTCAGGGGAGAGAAATCCTAGTTACCCAGTAATCAGGAGTTCCCTCCCCTACCCAAGCGATAATTTTCGAATCGGATCACGTTGCTATTTGGACGGACCTAGAAATGAACACATCGGGAATAAAATGAAAATTAAAGAATACAGAAATCTTATTCAAACAAATAGCATTAACTACCTTATTTATCATTGACAATTCATATACAATTACTCTGTATTTTAACTTGGCAATTTGGCAACTTTTATGTAACGTTTGTACAAGATCCAAGAAGCTTTATTTAACGTCGAATAGGGTGAACAATTTAACATTTAAGCTCTCAGTAGCTTTTATTTGACAAACATGATAAATATTAATAACAGTAAATATGACACAAGTTAAGACCAACACAATACATGATATAAAACAAATATCACATGAGCATATATAACTATAGTTCATCATTTGGTGCATCAAGTTTCCAAGGGTCGGGGAGCCCTCTACCAGCGAGGTCTGCTTAATGCGCACATCATAGTAGTTTAAGAGAGATATAAATTTTATACCAATTTTATCACATACAGTATTTAAAGTTAAAAGACTGGACTTGTATGCTTCAAATTTAACAGAATCAAATTGAGAAAAATTTATGTATAGAACAATATTTTGTAAAATATGACTAGATCTAGTACTGGTAAGATTGTGGTAAGATTGGGGTAAGATTATGGTAAGATTGGGGTAAGATTTGTAAGGACTTAAGTTCATGAAAATATTTAAAATGTTAAAAAGTAGCACATAATTTATCACAGATTTCAGGTTTATACTTTCAGTACAGTACAATATTTACATGACAGGAGAGAACCACCAGGCAGGGTCGACAAGTTTGCAAGGTGTGTTACATTACCTACATGGAACACTTATAATTACAGTTGAGGCCGTCCCACACATGCAGCTGTCTGCGGAAATCCTTATAGTTATCAGCCTTTCTTAGGTCGTCGGGCAGACAGTTCCATATGCGGGCAGCCTCATACCGATATGATGTTGTACCATACCTGATAGTTCTAACCCAGGGTACATCTACAGTCGCCTCTTACCTTAACTTATAATTGGATACTTTTTTAATTATCAATTCCTGTATATACCCAGGAGACATATTGTCTGTTATCAGTTATATTTTGTAGGGCATCAAATATGTACAGATCGTCAGCTAGTTGGCTGGTGTAACGATAATGCAAAATGAACGTGCTAATATATACTTACACTTTGTTATTTGTTGTTGAAACATGCATAATGTGTATGTGTCTGCTGATCATTTTATTTTCATTACGCTCAATTTCATCAATTTGAAGGAAGCTCAAAATGATATCCGTAAAAAAAACAAAAAAACATGAGCGGACAGCGAGAAGCAGTAATTCGCTTCCTCCCAAATTAACGGTAGCATGAAGATAATCAAGAGATGTAATGACACCCTACTGGTAAAGCTGGTTGTAATACTATATAATAAAACCATCTAAGTTACGTTATTAAAATATACTGTATAATGGAAAAGAAAAAAACCTGGTCATGTCGGGGAGAGGGTTTCCTTCCTTTGCAAAACATAAAACTATAAACTTAAAATTTGTTTTCCTGTATCTTTATCGGTTTCTTCAGTATGGGTTTCAATTTAAAAATCATCAAAGAGACACTGTATGTTAGAGACCATTACTTCGAAATGAAAAACGGACGCTCATATTGATGAACCACGGAATAAGATCCAAGTCCGTGGATACCCCCCCCNAACCCTGACCTTGACATGTTACCATATACATGTAATATAAACAAATATGGTACAAATATAAACGAACTTCAAAAAAGATCCAGTGTAATCTTGACCCTTGAACTTTTGTCAATGACCACAAAATCTGTAATCGGGTGTAGATATTACCATTCTAGGGTATTCATATTAACTAAATGTAGGGGATCATGAGACATCTGTACATTGTTTATTTTACTACGGACGCACGTACCAATTAAGTGGTTACTATGTGCTCCCTCACTTGGACGGCTAATTTGTTTCGAACACAAACAGGAATTGTTCCAACAACTATTTAATGAGCTTTCAAAGACGTCTGTTTCCTTTGTAAAGCAGAGTGAAAAAACATTTATTATTTTCCAATGTTTGTGTTCCAAACAAACCTATTCTTTATTGTATTATATACACTGAAAGGATAAGGAAACGCAGGGTAAACATTTGCGGTGAGTTAATGTTATGTACTTGAATGTTATATACATTATTTTTAAGTACCAAAAACCATCTTAAATTAACAAATGACCAAACTTTCATACGAACTTATCATTATTATTCTTTACATGCTTTTTTTTTGCATTTTAACACTTTCGCTGTGTGGCATGGTACACATAACACGGGCGGGTAGCTTTAGACAGCAGTAATCAAGACACTTGTCTGACCGGTTTTTATAGTTTTAGTCCAAGCAGTTAAATAATTGTTGCATATTTTGTTACCCTGCTGGGGTTTTTTTTTTTATCCTTTCAGTATATATTATCAACGGAGGTCCCTAGCATTCCTTCCTTATACATAAGGATAAAGAAACGCATTCTATGCTATTATATGTTAATAATTTCGTCGAAATAAATTGACATGGACAACTGTCCACACAATACCAAGGAGGCTGTCTCACGCGTCAATAGACATAGTCTGACCTACCCTTGGACGTAACATGTGCTTTAAAGTGGCATGCGCAACTTATTCTTGTTTTTATCTACTTTAGTACCAAGAATGGAAAGTGCTTGAATTGGGTTCGGTTGTAGGAGGTAGTTCAAACAAAAGAAAACAGGTATGATAATATAAACTTTATTTAATTTACAACAATTTTGATTTAAGTTTTACAACTTATATTAATTACTCTTGTTGGCACCGATGGAAGCCTAACTCTTATAGAATTATAATTCATTTCTCCCAAAGAAGTTTTGTTAGTATATTTTATTCAGATGAAAACGGACGTATCTTTCAAACAATTTCCTTTGCAATTTGGAAGACACTAAACAAAAATCAGTAAAAACAAAATCATTAATTACTGAATGTCTTGAACAAAATTTTGTACCCATGCATCTTTGAATAAATCATGTTTCAAGGAATGAAGCTCTAAAGCACAGTACTGCGATTCATTTTTATCGGAAAAGCGGCGACCAAGCTTTTCACAGAAACTCCTGCGGACAGAAGAAAAGAGTCTGTAATCTTTAGAAGTATCGTGTTTTCTTTTTGTTATTTTCTTGATACTGTTGGTCCTTTGTTGGAAGTGAAGATCACAGAAACGAGTTTGTCTTCCATTAATATTCTCTGCAAAGTGTCTAATGAAGATAGCCATGTAATTGTAGACAGTGGGTTTGGATACATTTTGAGGAAATATTGTGAATCTTTTTATGCCAACATTTTTAAATCCCGGCCAAAGCCAACACGATGCCAATCATGGAAGTTCTGATAGATGCATAACACAGATCGACATGATGGGAAGTGGAGAGTTGTCATTCCAGCTTCTAACAATCTAAATTATTTAAAACTGAACTTTCCTCCAACTATTTCCCATTCAGGATAACAAAAGTACGTACAGTAAATAATTATAATACAGAAATTAAAAATAATTGTTTATGCCAAAATAATGTCATAAAAAGCAAATCAAGCGTGGGCCAATTCCCCTTAGCATGCACCATTTCCTTGTGTTGGGCATCACCAAATCAGCATACAGTGATTATGTGTTAAACCATACAAATCAGAATAGAGTGATTATGTGTTAAACCATACAAATCAGAATAGAGTGATTATGTGTTAAACCATACAAATCAGAATAGAGTGACTATGTGTTCAACCCTACAAATCAGAATAGAGTGAATATGTGTTAAACCATACAAATCAGAATAGAGTGAATATGTGTTCAACCATACAAATCAGAGTAGAGTGACCATGTGTTAAACCATACAAATCAGAATAGAGTGACTATGTGTTAAACCATACAAATCAGAATAGAGTGACCATGTGTTAAACCATAAAAATCAGAATAGAGTGACTATGTGTTAAACCTAACAAATCAGAATAGAGTGACTATGTGTTAAACCATACAAATCAGAATAGAGTGACTATGAGTTCAACCATACAAATCAGAATAGGGTGACCATGTGTTAAACCATAAAAATCAGAATAGAGTGACTATGTTTTAAACCTAACAAATCAGAATAGAGTGACTATGTGTTAAACCATACAAATCAGAATAGAGTGACTATGTGTTAAACCATACAAATCAGAATAGAGTGACCATGTGTTAAACCATAAAAATCAGAATAGAGTGACTATGTGTTAAACCTAACAAATCAGAATAGAGTGACTATGTGTTAAACCATAAAAATCAGAATAGAGTGACTATGTGTTTAATCTAACAAATCATAATAGAGTGACTATGTGTTAAACCATAAAAAATCAGAATAGAGTGACTATGTGTTAAACCATAAAAATCAGAATAGAGTGACTGTGTTTAACCTAACAAATCAGAATAGAGTGACCATGTGTTAAACCATAAAAATCAGAATAGAGTGACCATGTGTTAAACCCTACAAATCAGAATAGAGTGACTATGTGTTAAACCATACAAATCAGAATAGGGTGACTATGTGTTAAACCATCAAAATCAGAATAGAGTGACTATGTGTTAAACCATACAAATCAGAATAGAGTGACTATGTGTTAAACCATAAAAATCAGAATAGAGTGACTATGTGTTTAACCTAACAAATCAGAATAGAGTGACCATGTGTTAAACCATCAAAATCAGAATAGAGTGACCATGTGTTAACCCCTACAAATCAGAATAGAGGGACTATGTGTTTAACCTAACAAATCAGCATAGAGTGACCATGTGTTAAACCCTACAAATAAGAATAGAGTGACTATGTGTTAAACTCTACAAATCAGAATAGAGTTACTATGTGTTAAACCATACAAAGCAGAATAGAGTGACTATGAGTTCAACCATACAAATCAGAATATGTTGACTATGTGTTAAACCATACAAATCAGAATAGAGTGACCATGTGTTAAACCATCAAAATCAGAATAGAGTGACTATGTGTTAAAACATAACCGACACTGAAAACAAGTAACCCATAGATGGATACAGCAACATGACTGCAAATTTCATAAAATAGATTGAAGTCTATCCGGTTGCACGCTCTGGCTATGTAGCTTCTTGGTCACCAGAGCACCATAAATAACGATATGGTTCTTCCCTCTTGAAAAGTGAAGGTAATCAATGTATAATACATCACCTTAAATCAACTAGTGATTCGGATCATTTAAGGCCCCGAGTTATATACACTGGAATTCCTTACATGACGTCACTCACTTCCAACTCATACAAGATGCTTCCGATTAAGTATTTTATATGAATTCAATGTTAAATTTGATAAATGTATCAAAGTGTGTATTCGAATTTAAGTTTCGAATCCTTCATTTCTTTCTTGTAGATTTCATCAAACGTTTCATTTTGAGCAACCGTAAACCAGTTCTTCCAGTCTCCAACCTGACCTGGAAAGATGAACGTTCGATTATAGCTCAGCAAACAAGCAAAATATTTTCTTGTGTCATTAGTTTAAGTAAAAATATGCTATTTAGTTAAATCATGTAGGTTGTTGTTTCAGTTGGGACTACTGCGGAGGTATAACATAAAAAATGTAGAATACACCAAAAGTTTAAAATAATGTAAGTGTTATGTTATCTTCTGATACATTTCACAAATACGCTACGGTTAACTTACTTAAATCTTAACGTAATTTTTAGTATATTTGAAAATTTGAATAAGGTATGATAATATTTTTGAAAATATTTAAGAGGGTGAAAAGTTTTCGAGAATGCAATACTTTTTTTATAAGACATTGAAGCTGAACCTCGAGGATGACCTTGGCCATTATTTATTTGCGCTGCTTTTCGACCTTGACCTCGAGCTATGCTTTATATTAGCTAAGACTTTTGGATTCTCTGATGTAGTGTTAAAAAGTTGAAAGTACCAAAGTACTGAAATTTGAACTCTAAATCTATAAAACTTGGAACAAATATTAACAAAGGAAAGATTTACAAGGAGATATTTGACAACTACAAGAATTAGACCAGCCGTTTCTTGTGATATTGATCTTCAATAGCGCTGAAACTTAGCATTTGACCTTGACCTGTAGAAGTTCTGAACCTTAGCCTTTGACATTGACCTGTAAAAGTTCTGAACCTGAGGTGGGTGACCTTTACCTTCTTTCCCAGCCTAGTTCTTTATATAGAGTTTGGTGTGATGAACCTTTCCTAGGCCTGTGATAATCCTTGCATCTTCTAGTTGTACAGATTCTAATAAATTTTTAAGGTTGTCAGAGCAGTTGTCCCAGACATTATCTGCATATTCAAGTATTGGACGGATAAATGTTGTACATATTTTGCATAGTATTACCTTTCCTACATATAGGAGACGTGCTATCTTTAGTGAGTGATTTCCAGGGGGCGCCAAATGTTCCACTACTCCTCATCTTCTTGAAGTCACATTTCTCCACAATCTTTTCAAATAATTCTTCATTTTCCTCGACCCCAAGAAATTTGGCGATCTTCCTTATGTTTGTTAACAAGTTCTGTTAGATACAAATATTATATGAAAGGACTTGAAATGATGCATTCACAATCTCTTCAGCTAAAAATGACTTATATTTTTCATTTATCTTTATATTTATATTATGCAACGCATTCAAATAGTAAAGGCCAATTAAAATGGTAACAGATTGAGACCTGAAATGACTTTTTAAATTTTTTAAAGAAAACAAAAAATATCAATGTCTTTGTCAATGGTGAGGAGTATAATTATTCAAGTTATTGAAATATCCAGGAACAGTATTCATTTCTATCAAGTTAACATCGATGAATGAAGTCGTGAAGAAAAAAAACCTGTAAATACCCTTTTCATATCTTCATATTCCAAATACAATATCGACAAGTTCGGATGTTCCTGCAGAACTGCCTCCCATTGCCTTGTGTGGTGAAACCAAGACCCGTAAGGAACTGAAAACGGGAGTTCTAGATAACTATCATCACCGTAAATCATACCATGCCTTTCTTATATATCTTGCTACTGTATGTGGAATTCAACCATGACATAGGCCTATATCCATAAAGCCATCGTTTGCTCATGCAAATCATGGAATGTGCTCAAACCATATTTCTTACCCAATTTTCAATTTCTTGTGACGAGATCAACAGTTAGCTATTATCACAGGAATGGAACCTGGCTACAAGATTAGGCTAAGCAACTGCAGAATTTGAAATAATATGCATTTTAATATAATTGATCAAGTACTGTACATACGATGTTACATTCATAACTGAAGACCATGTTGCATCAATAAATTGATAGAATATTATTGCCAGTAGTACAATGTTTAAGGAAATATAATTTGATTAAACCATATCCTTATATATTTTTATGATCTACGAACGAGTGAAATAGCTTCTGGGTTTTCATAAGATCAAAGGAAATATTAGATTTTCTTTTGACAGCGTGTTTGAGATTGTGACTTAAAGGAAACAAAGTCTGCATATACATGAACAGTCAAACCTTCTGAAGAGACCACCAATATACAGACCGTATGCGTTAGGAGACTACTTCGACATCTCCCCACTGCACTTATTTTCATTATCAAAAAGACCGCCTACGATAAAAGAACACACAATGAACTTTCCAAATGTGTCTCCTTATAATGCTTTGACTGTACAGAAAACGGCAAGAGAATACCGAAATGTCAACAAACCATACTTTGAACTCCAAAACGTCAAAACTAGGGCAACATCTCAACAAAGGAAAGATAATAATAATACAAACTGTATGTATTTTTACAACAATTATGAAACAAGTGATTTCAACGAATATTTTAAAATCACTCGTGTTGGCTCAGATGTTAGCGCGGAGCTACTTGAAATAGTAGAATAAGATAAAGTGTTCCAGAAGGGTACACTTCTTCTTCTTCTTCTTCTTCGACAACAACAGCATTGCAAATCTAGGTCAAATTCAAGTATGTCACGTCCCCAAGAGCGACGATTTGTAAGTTCTGAGTATCGTTCGATCTCATTGAGGGATGCATAAAATGAGGTTAATTTACGAATGGTACTGACCTTGACCGCTTGTAAATAGAGGCAGAAATCCTTCAAATGTACCACTGTAACCTGTAGAATCCCCCAGTTTTCTCATGTGACTGTAGAACGACACAGCACTATCCTTCATGTTTCTTGTGATGTATATGACACGGCATTTCTTGCTGCTGAGTTCAGTTGGAAAATGCTTAAATAAAAAATGGCTGGTTATGATTCTTGGAGATTTTATGTCCTCGAAGTCTGTCTCCCATGTATTTCCTGAGGTAGCATATGACGTCAAATAATCCATCGATCCCGTAAGTAGTGAGTTTGTAATCTCGTATATCCAGTGTTTACCTTGAAAAGAATCATATTTATAACAAACCAAAAAATGTACTGCAGAATCAACGCATGAAGATGCAATTGGAAATCTAAGCTGACATGGCAACAAAATTAAGCACAACAAAGGAGACACCAAAAGCAAAAGTACCCGGAAGGATAAGCGTTATTACAAAGTACATTTGGTATGTATCGTACATCCTGTGTTGACCTTAAAAGGAATCATATAAAAATATTTGGTATGCATTGTCAAATCTAGGAAATCAATATTTATCAAATCAATATGATTTTATGGTAACCACAAGCTGTGATAATATTTAAGAGTGTACATCATGTATAACAAAATAGAAATAGTAACACACGAATATCAATCTCTGAGGATTGGTAATATGTTTTGTATGTGTATTGTGTTTTATATTAAATTGACATCAACAATACAACAATAACAACAACAACAACAACAACAACAACAATCAGCAGAATCAACGATTACCAAATACGATGTCTTAACTAAAATTTGAAATACATCTTTGCGCGTGACTTTTCATGGAATATATAAAGTTTTCTCACACAAAGTGACTTAGATAAATATATTGAAAGCTGTTCAGGTAGTTATAATCAATTATGGTGACTCTACCTGCTTTGGGATAAGATGCTATGAAGACATCATCATCTCGGACTTGAAGGTATTTGAACCTGTTCACTGTTGTCTTCAAGTCTGTTTTAGAGAATGATGGGAACTGTATGCCCTCACATAAGTACATGTCGAACGATGCGCCATCTTTGTCTGAAACTGTCACCGTCTCCATGGTCCTGTCAAGTAGTTGACATTATAAGTTAAAAACAGAATATTCCAATATGAAAAGACCACTTAGATGAATTATAATATTAATATATATTATTGTTTTTTTTTGGCAGGAAAAAGTACACGTAAAACACTGGCACGTTAAACACTAGCACGCAAAGTCAATACAAAATGTTAACACAAGAACTAATGAAACAGCGGAACGAATATAATACACACTATAAACCCTATGTAAAACCAGAGGCACCACATGTGGCGCCCATCATGATACCCTACTTAATTCATGAATGTTCGTTATTCACCCAAGGTCTGAGACGCCATGAGCGTGTCTTAAAGTTTGAAATCCAGTAATGATAACGGCCATAACCAGCGTTGATTGAAGAACATCTGATTGAATAGCCTGTCGACATAATGTATCAGTCAAAAGGACTCAATAAATAGAAAAAAATCTTGATAGAGATTCAGTCCCTGAAGCAGTGGATCAATTTGGATGCGAGTTTGATGCTACTTCGGAAATGAAAGGTAAATATCGTGAGTAACTCAAACTACGTCCAGAAAAATATTAAATGCAACCAAAACATTCAAAACTGGAGTTTGCGTTTACAACTTTACATTTCAATGCCAACCTACGATATTTACACAGTAAGCTGCGTCTAAGGACTCGTTTTGATAGCAAGTGGCTGAAACCACAGACGACAAACTGGTTTATGATTGACACAACTCCAACAACCCAGGAAGATATTAGCCAGGTGCCATAGGACTAGAAGAATAATGTCTAGGCTCAGCTGTGAGTCTGCGGCAGCCATCATTTTACTAGCTCGAAGTGGAGAGCTACTTAATTTCAAGGTTCTACATCTTCTAGACACAACACGAGTGACAAGAGATAAAGATTGGTTTGAAGTTTATTCCGGTAATCTCAAGTGTTAGGCTCGGTCTCTGTCGTTTGTGGCTTAGTGTAGTCCGTCTCTGTCGTCTGTAGCTAAGTGTAGTCTCTAACCGTCTCTAGTCCTTGCTCTTCCCGTATATTGTATCATCTCTCGCCGTCCCTTGCCCTTCTGCTATTATATCCTTTCTAGGTTATATTTATACCCATACCCAAATCATCCCTGTTACTAGGATGCCTCCAGCCATTATCTATCACAAGGTCCATAAACCCATCATAACTGATTGTTACGGACGTAACTAGTCAGTTGAGGCCTAGGATCATCAGATGCATCCATAAACCCATCAAAATCACGCCTAGCTGGTCAGTGGGAACGTAAACACGTCTGACTAATAGTCCTGGATTCAATTAGCTATGTCCTATACGTGACCATCTACGCCTATACGACTACAGCCTCATAAACTAGCTCAGTTACGAATCCGTTGGTCAAAACTCTCTGGCCTGTCCTTTCTCGGGCTATTTATAATCAATTACGCAACGTCGTAACACCGACTGTGTTACATTCGTCCCCTTTTTCCATAAGAAATTTGATTGTATAATCAAAGTTCTTTTAAGTAGGAATTAAATATTCTATCGACCATTTTTTTAAGTACCCGCCACCCCATTCCCCTCACCAGTCCTCACATACTCAATGCTATATATTCAATGTCACCCAACATCTTACTTCTTCTTTGACATTTCATTAACATCTTATACTGTCCCCTAAGTGACAATAGGATATTTCGTCATGTTCTATTTTCAAGTCGGAAATAAAAGTCTAGTAGTGGGTACATGTAATCATTAACAACATTTCAACACATTCAAATTATTACAACAATTGTGTTTCCACTTATAATATATACACACAAATTAATTCTGTGATATCATTAAAAGAATTATCAATAAATGATAGCATTATAATAAAAGGATCCATACGATTATAGGAATATATACAAGTCAGCTGGCCATCTGCCAAAATAAGTTCACATAACAATGTTCATTATATTAGCAGTGCACACACGTAGATAATATCCCTGAAATAAGATAATGGAATAAAAAAAAAATCGCGATTGTCATATTTGTACACACATATAATTAACAAAGTTCGTCATCATGGAATTGTGGTTTCCGGGTCCTTCGTAGGAAATCACCTCCGACACACGTGCATGGTTCTCGAATATTTTTTACACAGTTTTTACAATATAATTTCTTAGGAAAATCAGCCTCACTGTCTATGCGGAAAGTGGGTTCCAGAATCTCTTCCTTAAGTTGAAGTCCACTCCCGATAGCTGCATATCAATGTTCCTCGTTCTGCTGCTAAATATGAAAGTTAGTCTCGGATTCGTATCCGTTTGTTGTAGACCAACCCCCAGTATTTCTCTGTTATTTTGTCTTTGTATGAAAACGACACAATGTTCATCATCACATATTATTTTGTTACGAGCCTGGTTGTTTTCATGACAACAACACAGAGTTCATAAACCTGATCACTTGTGGAAAGTGGATTCCGAAATCTGCCATCCTCATGTCCTCCCTTTCCAGCCAGCGACACCATTTCGAAGTGTGGTTCGGTGATTGGCTTACCTGACCTTTTTCGCTCTCTCATGACTAGTCGATCCTTACATACCCTTCCCAACCCGCATTTCCTATAAAGCTATCTAGTCAGTATGACAGTCCCTAATCCTACTAATCCCATGCCTGTTATACCCCATACAGGGAAACTAGTATCATCGGCTACAGCCCTGAGAGATTGTAATTCGTTTATCAGTTGAGCCATCGGAATTTCTTTGATTGCTTTAAGTTTTTGAGGACGTTTGGTTTGCGTGAAATCTGGTAACACCTGATTTTAGACACATTAGTGATCATAAGTAGATTCTCCCAATCCCCTATAGCCTTGAATGTACTTTTTGGTTCATAGAAAGGTAAGAAACTAAGCCTGTCATTAGTTGCCGAACAAGTTGGACCAAATTTCATAATCCCTATGGGAGGTTTGGTATGGTTTGAGTGGATACTTTTTATATCCGCTATTTAGCAAACCCATCATAACTAATTGTTACGGACGTAAATAGTCAGTTAAGGCCTAGGATCATCAGATGCATCCATAAACCCAGCAAAAACATGCCTAGCTGGCAGTTGGAACGTAAACACGTCTGACTAATAGTCCTGGATTCAATTAGCTTTGTCCTATACCTGACCATCTACGCCTATACGACTACAGCCTCATTAACTAGCTCAGCTACGAATCCGTTGGTCAAAACTCTCTGGCCTGTCCTTTCTCGGGCTTTTTATAATCAATAACGCAACGTCGTAACATCGACTGTGTTACAAATGTGAAGCTGCAGTAATTGAATGTCGAAATAGTTTACATTAATTAGAACGAACTGTAACACACGTTCATATATAGCAACGATTTCTTACCTCATCGTCTTATATTTAGTCCAACGTCTGTCTCAAAGTGAAGTTAATAAATAACACGAATTCTAACGCCCTTTTTTATAATATTTAATAATAAACCATTTCGTGTGCATTTATTACAATGAACTGTAACACACATCGATGTATAGGAACGATATCTTACCTCATCGCCTTATATATAGTCCAACGACTGTCCCAAAGTTTTCTTATTGAGTATAAAGCCGACAGTCGGATGTTTTAATTATAATGTGAATTAAATTGAATGCGAATTTATTACTCCTAACTTGTAACAATAGTATTAATATATACAAATCGTTTGTTAAGTCACTTAGGTACATCATATTCAATAGTAGTCATAGGCTAATGATATGACGTCGACAACGGTGAGTTATGTCAGGTATTTAAAACAAATGTAATAGTAAAATCAAGAGGAGTTCCGAACAAACATCATGAGGCATATAAGCTTACAATTATTTACTTGAAAAAAAAGAAAAGTCCCATTTGGGACTATTGTTTGATATTACCGATCTTGCTAGACTTCCAGTCGCTGGGTACGTTATATTCCACGCACCCCGCGACTGAAAGTCTATCAAGATCAATATTAAAGGGGCATCACGGTGAAGTAACTTTTTTTTGTGTCTTTGTTTCAAATACTACATAAACATATCAAGTGAGACTCTTTATGGAAAACAACGATCGGATTTGGCTGAACTAGATTCATAAAAATGATTAAACCTAAGATAGTCATCGGTATTTCTACCTGTCTGACCAACGTTTTGTTCAGGTATTTCCCTCTACTAGCGCATGCGCATAGCACACCATTTCTTTGTAAGCGAAAGAAAAGACTAAAGAAAGTGAAACACGTTCCATATCTGACACATATTCTACATGTACACGAAGTGGTATTGCCATACAGTTTATTGTTTGTGATGGCTAATATGACTTACTAATTATAAGTGTTAGCGTATGGTGACAGTGAAAGTGGGAGAGAGAGTATACATAAATGTATAGGCATGGTCTAGAAAAAAACAATTGGCCAAAGACATTGAGTTGTACAATGTAATAAAAAAATCACAAACGTTTCTCTTTTTTTGTACGCGTGAAGTTTGTCATTGCATATATGCACTTCATGAAAACATTTGAAAAAGGATATTCGTCTCGTCAATATTCCTTTTTACAGAAAGGTTTGTCCCATGGTTGAGAGAAGGTGTTTAGCCACGTACCATCTGTATCGGTCACATTCCGGTAATAAATTCAATATATATTTACATATATTTACTTTATGTTTATGCCTATTATCATTGTTGACATTTAATTGTAAATGTATGACGGGAGAAGGCTGTGATGAATTGTAAAAACTTGTACCCCATCCCTCGTTCAATTTTATTGGCAACAAATATGTTTAAAGCTAAGTGTGCAATTAACTTCTGATGATGAATAATTACTGTTCAATAAGTTTTAATACGGACTTAGAAATCATATTACTTGGTTTCATAGTGCGGTAAGAAGTTACAGTTGCCTGACGGCCCCTCTCTGGGGGCCCTTTGGAAACCATTTCATCTTGCTCAGACAACTTGTGTTTACTGTCTAGTCAGGTGACGTTATCGGGGCTATTTTTAGCAGGGCTTTCCCGAACAATTCAAGTGGTCAAACTGGACATTTGGAATGGACTATGACTATGGGTTAGCGAGGTAACATAAGTGGAAGTGCATACAATACATAAAAATATGGCTCTTCACGTGATGTCCCTTTAATAGTAGTTGCGTGCCCCTGTACACCGCGTGAGTGATAACAACATGTCAGTATGACCTACAATGACTGATTAAAGTTCCTGTCTCTCGTAGAGAGGCCGGGTGATCACCAGCCCCTAGAGTTTATATGGATCCGATCGGGTATATATATACATCAAATCGAATCAGTCTATCGCAGTATATTTAATACCAATCTATAATAATTGAATTATTAATGATGTTTCAATGAAAACGTGCATGTACACGTAACGATTTCTTCACTCCTTGTGCTTCTGAACATCGGATATTGACATAATTCACATGTACACGTAACCTTGTGAATTATGTCAATATCCGATGTTCAGAAGCACCACGAATTAAGAAATCGTTTCGAGAGCGAAATCAACCGTGGGTATCCGACGATGCCCAGGTATGGAAAACTTACCAGATGAAATCCGGAGGCTTGAACAAGCTTGGAGTTATTTTTAAGTGTAGCACATATGTGGAATGTGTGCAAGGTGGTTATGTGACGTTGCAATGTCTGCACGTGACCGCTTACTTTTTTAGTGTGCGCACTGATCCATATTTAAAGGCTTTTGTTATTTCCCCTTTAGCCGATGGTCTTTAGCAACATGCACTATAGCCTCGTCTGTAAATACACACATTATATAAACTTATGGGTGTATTTACAGACGAGGCTAGTACCTGTGATCGAAAAACTGTTATATAAACTCTCTATATATAGTTACTTGAAATATGTGGGGTTAGGGGGTTTGACCTGTCCTGCAACGGTGCCGGAAAAAAATCAGTTACAGTTTAACCTATGATATTATAAATGATATTTTTTTTATCTGCATACAGATAATATGAGTAATGCATAGCACTGCCATATGAACGTCACGATATTCACATCACGTAAAGAGCCATATTTTTAATGAATGTATGTATTTTATGCAATTCCACTTATGTTGCCTCGCTATCCCCATATTCATAGTCCGTTCCAAATGTCCAGTTTGACCACTTGATTTGTTCGGGAAAGCCCTGCTAAAAATAGCACCTATAACGTCACCTGACTAGGCAGTAAACACGTTACCAAAGAGGCCCCCAGAGAGGGGCGTCAGGCAACTGCAACTTCTTACCGCACTATGAAACCAAGTAATATGATTTCTAAGTCCGTATTAAGACTTATTGAACAGTAGTTATTCATCATCAGAAGTTAATTGCACACTTGCCAATATTCAGAATTTAACTTTACTTAGCTTAAACATATTTGTTGCCAATAAAATTGAACAAGGGATGGGGCACACGTTTTTACAATTCATCACAGCCTTCTCCCGTCATGCATTATACAATTAAATGTCAACAATGATAATATGCATAAACATAAAGTATATATATATAAATATATATTGAATTTAGTACCGGAATGTGACATCTGTACGGGGCTTAACACATTTCTTCAACCATTGAACAAACCTTTCTGTAAAAGGGAATATTCACGAGACGAATATCCCTTTTCAAATGTTTTCATAAAGTGCATATATGCAATGACAAACTACACGCGTATAAGAAAGAGAAACGTTTGTGATTTTTTTTATTTCATTGAACAACTCAATATCTTCGACCATTTTTTTTTAATATATTCCAATATGTATACTCTCTTTCCCACTTTCACTGTCTCCATACGCTAACACTTAGCAAGTCATATGAGCCATCACACACACTAAACTGTATGGCAAAACCATTAAGTGTACATGTAGAATATGTGTCAGATATGGGACGTGTTGATATACTTGATAATTATATTTTTTCAATACTTTTCATAGATTAAAGCATTCTTGTCAATGGACGCTTTTTTATGTTGAGCCAACCTTTCTTTAATCATTTCATTTTTGTCCGAAACAGAAGCCGTAGTTATCGGCATCATGCGTCATTTTTACAACGTAAACAAAAGTTCCGATTCTATCTGAAGTAGGAAATTAAATATTAATAGAGAAAATGTTGTTACATGATCATACATTCTAAGTCAACATCATATGAAAACATGAATTGTTGAACTATTACGATTTAAAAAGAAATGTTACGCGATCCTATTTACTAGAAGTAGGTTCTCCTTCCTCAGTTATTCATTCTGGCCCGTCATTTTGACATTTCTAATCTAGCTGCGATAATTTAGCTTTCTGACGACGAGATATTTTTTTTATATATATTGCGTCGTTGCGCCAGAGGAAGCCGGGTATTCTGTAACACAACACAAGTTGATGGTTGGCTAGAAGTTTATTAATCTCGAGCGTTGGGATCGGTCTCTGTCGTTGGTATTAAACGTCCCTAGCACTTCTAGTCTCTTCTCTTCCCGTCCCTAGCTTGTCTAGCTTGTCTAGCTTGTCTCAAGCTCGTCTTCCTTATCTCCTTTCTAAGTTATATTTATAACCGATTATAATCTATTGGTACGTGCATAGGTGGTCATTTGTGACTTTAAGATTATATCTATGTACTTCTGGATTCTATACTAAATATTAATGACATAACAGATAATATAAAAGGTCTATCAAAACTTTTTGCTGATGACACCTCTCTTTTGTATTCGGATAAATCACCACAAGAAATTGAACAAAAAAATATTAATGATCTCGTAAATATACATGTTGGCAGATAAGTGGCTTGTCAAATTCAATCCTGCAAAAACAGAGGCTTTACTTATTTCTAATATTGATCTTGATCACCTCATTGAAATTAACTTTAATAATGTAAGTAGTGAATTTGTTGAAAACCATAAACATCTGGGAGTATTCATCAATGCTAACTGTAAATTGACCTATCACAGTGATAATATATGTAAAAAAGTAGTTAAACAATTAAGTGTCCTCCGTAAATTGAAATATACCCTGAACCGACGTACACTGAATAAAATATATAGAACATTTATACTTCCTATTCTAGAATATTGTTGTGAACTTTGGGATGGTTGTTCTATTACTGATTCAGACAAATTAGAAAAATTACAACTTGAAGCTGGACGTATTGTCACTGGTTTACCGTCGTTTACTAGTAGACAATCTATATACAATGAAACTGGATGGGATTCTCTAGCCAATCGGAGATCCCGTCGAAAACTTCAATTATTTTTTTAAATCCACAATAATATAGCTCCTAACTATCTCAACACTCTACTCCCTTCCCTTGTCGATAACTCTCACTATAATCTTCGAAACGTTGAAAACTACAACCTACCTAACAACAGACTTGAATTATCTAACGTATCCTTTTTTCCTTCTACTGTTATACTGTGGAACCAGTTACCTACTAGTTTACGACGTAGTGCCACGTTCTCATCATTTAGAAACGCCATTCAAGACGTAAACTTGCCGCTTGTACCAAACCCCTTTTTCTATGGTGATAAGAAAAATAATATTTTGCATACAAAATTAAGAAACCGTTCTAGTACTTTGAAAAGTGACCTGTTTCGTGTTAACCTTATTGATTACCAACGTTGTATATGTGGCTTCCCTATTGAAGACACACACCATTTCTTTTTTACCTGTGATAAATATAACGAACAAAGAATTAAGCTTTATCGTGAACTGAATGAATACATGCAGCCTCTTTATTTAAATCTACTTTTATTTGGAGATACATCTCTTTCGGAACAGGAAAACATAACGATATTCATGCATACTCAGCAATACATTCGTGACTCTAACAGATTCTAGTACCCTCCCCCCTGTCCCCTGTCTCTCCCTCTCTCTCAATTGAACCATAATATTCACTCTCTCTAAGAGGCAGATACTATATGTCATACATTAATAATGATGAGGAGGTATGTATTATAATTACAGACTATTATCCCCCTCTGCCCCCTCTCCCTTCCCCCTCTCCCTTTTCTCTCTCTGTCTCTCTCTTATAATTTCAATTTATAAATTAAAGCATTTAAAAATGAAATCGTGTATACATGTATATTAATTCTGCCATCTTGTTGTACTATTGTAAATATATGCTTGTAATTTGCTAGGAAAGGGCTTAATATAAGTTTGATAACATGTGCCCAATCCATTTGCTTGGCAATAAAATATGTTTAAACTAAACCGATATACGTAACCTATTACACAACGTCGTAACATTGATTGTGTTACAATTCATATTAGTACTAATTTAAATCTTGTATGTAAAAACAAACAAAAAATCGTTTAATTCACCAATATAATTAAATCATACCATTTTACTTAACCCGGTAATATTATAAATTATGTAAATCTAAAAGCGCACGTATCTCATTTGACCCCGATCACGAGTATCGACAGAGACGCTATCACAACAGTTAACCCTTGGAGGGCCTCATGACAAAATCAAACTAACCAGTCACTTATCCCTTCCTTTCGCATAAACCACTGTATAATTATAGAAAAACAAAGTAAACTCTCTCCGATACATGTCCATTGACATATTAAACTAAGTTCATCTGTGTTCAAACTCAGACAAAGATACTAGCGAGGTTAATAGTTTTAGATAGTTATTCATAACATAAACAGCGCTAGCATTTCTGTCGATTCCATTTCAGCTTAATCGGCTATCCGTAAGAATACATGCACCGTACTAACTGCTAGGCAGTTATTTTCTCCTTTGAATACTTCCCACCTGTAATAATGATTCCGTAACGTACTCCTTGCGCTATCTTTTGACCATTTGGCATTTTTTCGCTTCGTAGCTGACACGGTACAACACTTTTCTTTGGCTTACTTCACACGGCCAGTCATATTGTTTACAAAGAAATGGTGTGCCATGCGCATGCGCTAGTAGAGGGAAATCGATTTAATCATCTTTATGAATCTATTTCAGCCAAATCCGATCGTTATTTTCCATAAGGAGTCTCACTTGATATGTTTATGTAGTATTTGAAAAAAAAAAAAAAAAAAAAAAAGTTACTTCAGCGTGAAGCCCGTTTAAGATCCGTTAAGATTTGAAGAAAATGAAAACACATTGTATTACAACAAAGAAAACGGAAACAGTCATATATACCGTACGTGTTACGAGGTTAGTACTAAGTTTAATCCCCGGCCTCCTCTGACGATGCACTATAAAGAAAGTGTCTCGTCGTCAGAGTTTACAGCTTGACTGTGTCCAAGTTTCGTTATCAAAAAGCCACGCTAAAATCTAGCAGAATCCCGTATTAAAGTCTTATTAAGGTAAAAATTGTCGTACGTGTATGTATAACCAATAGAATCTAGAATGAAGGAAACATTATGCAGTCAATTTACTGGTTCTGAAATGTTTCCATTCAAGTTATGACGCTAGTTTCATTCTTTTTGTATTGCGCTAGTTACTTTAGCAACGCTCTGCCAGCAGCTTCTTTCTAAAGTGAAAAAAATATTGTATTATAGTACACCTCGTGTTTTCATATAAAGTCGTTATCCAGTGCCTGATACTTGGCCAAAAATTGAAAAAAATGGTATCACATTGTCTAGAAAATTCCGTGACAAAGAATCAAGATTAATTTTATTTTCGAAATCAGTCAATACTAATAACCCATGAATATCCCTACTCT